TTCAGGATCATTTTTCACCGTTCTTTTTTGGATCTTAAAGGGTTTCGGGTTTTCAATTTTAACTAAAGGCATTTCTCTATTTGTAACCAGTATAAAGGTATTTGACTCAGTCTATTGGATTTAGTCTATCAATTATATAGCTTCTCTATAAGTATTTGTAAGTCTTTGTGGTCTCTTCAAATAATGTCATGGCTGTCTTAGTTCTGTACAGTACATCTATATTTAAGCAATAAGGCCCGAGGGGGTGTGGTATATGGCCAATATACCACGTCTAGGGGCTGTTCTTAAGCACGATGTAACGCGGAGTGCCTCGATACAGCCCTTAGCCGTGGTATATTGGCCATATACCACAAACCCCAGAGGTGCCTTATTGCTATTATAAACTGGTTACCAACGTAATTCGAACAGTCAAAATACATTTCAAATCAAATCAAATCAAATTTTATTGGCCACATGCGCCGAAATACAACAGGTGCAGACATTACAGTGAAATGCTTACTTACAGCCCTTAACCAACAGTGCATTTATTTTTAACAAAAAAGTTAAAATAAAACAACAACAAAAAAAGTGTTGAGAAAAAAAGAGCAGAAGTAAAATAAAATAACAGTAGGGAGGCTATATATACAGGGGGGTACCGGTGCAGAGTCAATGTGCGGGGGCACCGGCTAGTTGAGGTAGTTGAAGTAATATGTACATGTGGGTAGAGTTAAAGTGACTATGCATAAATAATTAACCGAGTAGCAGCAGCGTAAAAGGATGGGGTGGGGGGGCAGTGCAAATAGTCCGGGTAGCCATGATTAGCTGTTCAGCAGTCTTAAGGCTTGGGGGTAGAAGCTGTTGAGAAGTCTTTTGGACCTAGACTTGGCACTCCGGTACCGCTTGCCGTGCAGTAGCAGAGAGAACAGTCTATGACTAGGGTGGCTGGAGTCTTTGACAATTTTGAGGGCCTTCCTCTGACACCGCCTGGTATAGAGGTCCTGGATGGCAGGAAACTTGGCCCCAGTGATGTACTGGGCCGTACGCACTACCCTCTGTAGTGCCTTGCGGTCGGAGGCCAAGCAGTTGCCATACCAGGCGGTGATGCAACCAGTCAGGATGCTCTCGATGGTGCAGCTGTATAATTTTTTGAGGATCTGAGGACCCATGCCAAATCTTTTCAATCTCCTGAGGGGGAATAGGCTTTGTCGTGCCCTCTTCACGACTGTCTTGGTGTGTTTGGACCATGATAGTTCGTTGGTGATGTGGACACCAAGGAACTTGAAGCTCTCAACCTGTTCCACTACAGCCCCGTCGATGAGAATGGGGGCGTGCTCAGTCCTCTTTTTTTTTTTCCTGTAGTCCACAATCATCTCCTTTGTCTTGGTCACGTTGAGGGAGAGGTTGTTATCTGTAGCTCAACTGTAGTTCTCTGTAGCTCAACTGGTAGAGCACGGCGCTTGAAACGCCAAGGTAGTGGGTTCGAGCCCCGGGACCACCCATACACAAAAATGTATGCACGCATGACTGTAAGTCGCTTTGGATAAAAGCGTCTGCTAAATGGCATATTATTATTATCCTGGCACCACACGGCCAGGTCTCTGACCTCCTCCCTCAACGTGACCCATGTTATACGGTCAGATATACCACGGCTTTCAGCCAATCAGCATTCAGGGCTCGAGTCACCCGGTTTATAAAAGGGAACGTGTGTGTGTCAGCCTTAGCATTATGTGGTGGTGCCTGGTTATTTCTGTTGTGTTTAGCTTGAGGTTTGGCCACTCCTCCAGCTGCTGTTACATGTGTCACGCACGGCGCTCTTCCTGTCGTGTCGTTGCTGGTATGTTGTAGTAACGTTCCACATACGTTATTTATGTCAAGGTCAATGTCAAGGTTGATCTGTGTGCTGAGGAGATGGGGAACAACGTGCAACCTGCTGCTGCTCTCCTGGGGGACATCAATACTATTGTCAAGCAGGTAACACAACACAGTCCTGGGGGACATCAATACTATTGTCAAGCAGGTAACACAACTCAGTCCTGGGGGACATCAATACTATTGTCAAGCAGGTAACACAACTCAGTCCTGGGGGACATCAATACTATTGTCAAGCAGGTAACACAATTCAGTCCTGGGGGACATCAATACTATTGTCAAGCAGGTAATACAACTCAGTCCTGGGGGACATCAATACTATTGTCAAGCAGGTAACACAACTCAGTCCTGGGGGACATCAATGCTATTGTCAAGCAGGTAACACAACACAGTCCTGGGGACATCAATACTATTGTCAAGCCTGTAACACAACTCAGTCCTGGGGGACATCAATACTATTGTCAAGCAGGTAACACAACTCAGTCCTGGGGGAAATCAGTGCTATTGTCAAGCAGATAACACAACTCAGTCCTGGGGGACATCAATACTATTGTCAAGCCTGTAACACAACTCAGTCCTGGGGGACATCAATACTATTGTCAAGCAGGTAACACAACTCAGTCCTGGGGGACATCAATACTATTGTCAAGCAGGTAACACAACACAGTCCTGGGGACATCAATACTATTGTCAAGCCTGTAACACAACTCAGTCCTGGGGGACATCAATAATATTGTCAAGCCTGTAACACAACTCAGTCCTGGGGGACATCAATACTATTGTCAAGCAGGTAACACAACTCAGTCCTGGGGGACATCAATACTATTGTCAAGCAGGTAACACAACTCAGTCCTGGGGGAAATCAGTGCTATTGTCAAGCAGATAACACAACACAGGCATCTAATATCTGCCCTATATCTGCATATTCTTTTTTTAAGAAACAAGCATTGATTGTCCTGCAGCACAGCAATGTGAGTTATTATATGGATTATAATTAATGGACATTTATGTAAGGGTTGATAGGGAAAATGATGTCTGACATTTCTAAGAGTACAAACTTCAGAAGCCTTTTTAAACCTCAAATACACTACACGTTTTAAATGTCCTGCATTGCAGGAAAGTTCTCCTGCAACAAGGTGATCAAATTAAGATCCTACATCTGTACTTTATTCAGTTTGTTTAGTTTCTACTCCTCATCTTTACGTTCAGCTCCTGGAGTACGTTCACAAAGATGGCTGGAGGTATCCAGCTGATACAGAATGGTGGACCACGTTGAAAGAGAAGATGGTTGCTATGACAAAGGTGACAAAGGTGTGTTGGTGTGTCCGTCTGTGACCTGTGATCTGTGACCTAAGCAAGTTAGATTCTGCCTTTGTGTCTGTATTACTGACTCTTTGTTATCTGTGAAATAACTTGACTTAAATCCAACAGGTAGAATACATTATGGTACAGATGTAGTATTGCACTTAAATCCAACAGGTAGAATACATTATGGTACAGATGTAGTATTGCTCTTAAATCCAACAGGTAGAAGACATTATGGTACAGATGTAGTATTGTTCTTAAATCCAACAGGTAGAAGACATTATGGTACAGATGTATTCTGAGTCTTGTCATAGGCATGTATGATCCCGTCCGGTCAGGTCCAACAACTTTGCTGTTTGGGTACCTACCACCCCTGATTTGATTGTGTTTCTCTCTCCAGGCGTTAGCTCTACAGTCGACAACACCCATGAACTACTACCAAGTGTTCCACCACATCTCCCAGCTGCTGCCCCACGACTGTGTCATCGTGAGTGAGGGGGCCAACACCATGGACATCGGGCGCACCATGTTGAACAACTACCTTCCTCGACACAGGCAAGGCATGCCGCCTCACACAGAGATCAAAGGTCAAATCCGCCAAGTATCCTGTGCCTTTGCCCTGAAGACAAGTAGGAATGAGTTGGGATCTGTTGATAGTTCTCCCTGAGAAGACTTCTCAATGGAGTGCTGCCTGACAGGCTGACTGGATGACTTCTCAATGTAGTGCTGCCTGACAGGCTGACTGGATGACTTCTCAATGTAGTGCTGCCTGACAGGCTGACTGGATGACTTCTCAATATAGTGCTGCCTGAGAGGCTGACTAAATTACTTCTCAATGTAGTGCTGCCTGAGAGGCTGACTAAATTACTTCTCAATGTAGTGCTGCCTGACAGGCTGACTGGATAACTTCTCAATGTAGTGCTGCCTGAGAGGCTGACTGGATAACTTCTCAATGTAGTGCTGCCTGAGAGGCTGACTAAATTACTTCTCAATGTAGTGCTGCCTGACAGGCTGACTGGATTACTTCTCAATGTAGTGCTGCCTGACAGGCTGACTAAATTACTTCTCAATGTAGTGCTGCCTGACAGGCTGACTGGATTACTTCTCAATGTAGTGCTGCCTGAGAGGCTGACTAAATTACTTCTCAATGTAGTGCTGCCTGACAGGCTGACTGGATTACTTCTCAATGTAGTGCTGCCTGAGAGGCTGACTAAATTACTTCTCAATGTAGTGCTGCCTGACAGGCTGACTGGAGGACTTCTCAATGTAGTGCTGACTGACAGGCTGACTAGATGGACTCTTTTATTATCTTACCCCCCCAGATGTTGTTCATTGCTTCCTACTTAACACATACACACACACACACACCAACTATGGTACCTTTACACACACTGAACTCTTATTAACGCAGCCTGGTGTCTGTGTGTGTGTGTGTGTGTGTGTGTGTGTGTGTGTGTGCAGGTTGGATGCTGGTACCTTCGGGACGATGGGGGTGGGTCTGGGCTTTGCCATCGCGGCTGCAGTAGTGCAGAGGAACCAGAACACAGGCCAGAGGGTGGTGTGTGTGGAGGGGGACAGTGCCTTTGGATTCTCTGGGATGGAGGTGGAGACCATGTGCAGGTTGGTTCAGTCAAGGTCTCTCTCGCATAGCAAAACGTGCTTGTAGTATTCACCGGTCCGGTGCATAGGAGAATACAATTTTTATCAATTTTCCCTAAGTGTCAACCACCTAACCTAGTCATTGATGCTTTCCCTGGTCATTGATGCTCTCCCTGGTCATTGATGCTCTCCCTGGTCATTGATGCTCTCCCTGGTCATTGATGCTCTCCCTGGTCATTGATGCTCTCCCTGGTCATTGATGCTCTCCCTGGCCATTGATGCTTTCCCTGGCCATTGATGCTTTCCCAGGTCATTGATGCTCTTCCCTCTGACCAGGTATAAACTCCCAGTGGTCATCATCGTGGTCAACAACAATGGGATCTACAGCGGAGTGGACGCAGCGACGTGGGAAATGATGGGGAAGATGGGAGATCTGACCACTGTGTGAGTACATAGGGGTTTGGGTTTAAAGGTCAATGTGGGACTGGGCCTACTCTGACTGGTTATGTCCAGGTCAGGATTCCCTCTAGTGAAGGTATGTTGGTCATCTTCTCCTCTCCCCCCTGTGACCCTGCTGCCTGAAGCCCGCAATGACGAGATCATGAAGGCCTTTGGAGGACGAGGGTTCCTGGTGCGGACAGAGGAGGAGCTGCGTAGTGCCTTACAGCTCAGCCTCAGTGACTGGGAGAGACCTAGTCTCCTCAACGTCCTCATAGACCCCTCCTCAGACAGGAAGCAACAGGTATTCCCTGGTCTATACCAGGCAAATTCAAATCAAGACCTCAAAGCCAGTTCGAGTGTTGTTTATGATGTGTATCTAGTGTAGGAAAGTGTTTATAATGTGTAAGAAAGTGTTGTTTATTTCTGGTTCTGGAAGGCTGCAGTCATCAAATACGCTCTTAATGGGGCCTCCCGAGTGGCGCAGCGGTCTAAGGCACTGCATCGCAGTGCTTGAGGCGTCACTGCAGACCTGGGTTCGATCCCAGGCTGTCACAAGCGGCCTTGACCGGGAGACCCATGAGGCGGTGCACAATTGGCCCAACGTCGTCCGGGTTAGGGGAGGGTTTGGGCAGCCGGGATTTCCTTGTCCCATCGCTCTAGTGACTCCTTGTGGCAGGCCGGGCACCTGCAAGCTGACTTCGGTCGCCAGCTGGACGGTGTTACCTTCGACACATTGGTGCGGCTGGCTTCCGGGTTAAGCGAGCAGTCTGTCAAGAAGCAGTGCAGCTTGGCAGGGTCGTGTTTCGGAGGATGCATGGCTCTCGACCTTCGCCTCTCCCGAGTCCGTAGGGGAGTTGCAGCAATGGGACAAGACTGTAACTACCAATTGGATATCACGAAAAAGGGGTAAAAAAAATAATATATATATATATATACAGTCTTAATAAAAAAGGGTTCCAAAAGTGTTCTTTGGCTGTCCCCATAGGACAATTATTTTAGGTATAACCCTCAATGTAGAACCCTCTGTGGAAAGGGGTTCTACATGGACCCCTAAAGGGTTCTACCTGGAACCAAAAAGGGTTCTTCAAAGGGTTCCCCTATGGGGACAGCCGAAGAACCCTTTTAGGTTCTAGATGGAACCTTTTTTGTACCATCAAGGTAGCTACGGTCAGCTCACTTCACCTGAATGTTGAATGCTAATGTTGCCTAAGAACAGGGCTGTCAAACTAGTGTCTGTTGGTTTCTGTTATTTCCTGTCCGATTAAGACATAGACAACAAGGTTAAGGGCGTTCCTAACTAATCAGTGTCCTTCATTGATCAATCAAGTAAAAGGGAGGAGTGAAAAAACCTGCAGACACTCGGCCCTCCGTAGAATGAGTTTGACACATGAGCCTGACTGCATCCAACCACGTCATTTATCATTCCTCTCCTGACTGTCCATGGTCTGTCTGTCTGTCTGTCTGTCTGTCTGTCTGTCTGTATGTCTGTCTGTCTGTCTGTGTCTCTTAGGAGTTTCCATGGCTGACTCGCTCCAACCTGTAGCCCCAAGAGGAGAGGTCTGCTGTATGGGACAGTGAGGAAGACCTGCTTCCTTCTCCCACCTGATGGAGAAATTGGGTACGTCCCAAATGGCAACCTCTTCTCTATAAGGTTCATTTTCTATGGGCCCTGGTCAAAAGTAGTGCACTAAATAGGGAATAGGGTGCCATTTGGTATGCAGCCCTTGTCAGTGAAGTTTCTCTCTCTATAACATGGTGTTAGGAGACAGTGACAGCTGTCACTCATTTAATGTGTTTTTGTATCTAAAAAATAATGTTTCTATGAAATGTTTTAATCAAGTCACATTTACTACACGGTAGTATTACATTTTTGATTTTGTAAATTTATACCATGATTAAGATGTAGATTTGTGACAAAATGTCAGGTATATTTGTCTTTGGCTTATTTACTATACTTGTACAAGTGGAATTGAAAATAAACTTTGTTGCAGACAAACTACAAGATAATATAAGTTATTTTAGAAAATGATAAAGTGATGTCAATGTCTTTCAGAGCTGTAGAATATAGGACGCTTTCCCAGTTCCTTTGGGAGTATAGGAAATTATTCTGGGTCCTGTTCAAGATCTCCCCAGTCCCTCAGTCAATTTCCTGTGACTTGTCCCCAACAATACCCAGGTAACTGCTGGTATTAGAATGGTATGGCTCACCAGCTGAAAATGAGCTCATGTGTAGCATGTGGTCCAACGCAACTCCTTCCTCAAACTAACCTCTTACCCCTCTTCAGGGTTCCCCTGTCAAGGAAACATCATGGCTGTCATTGGTTAATGAGAAATGTGTGCCATGTCAGTCTGTGTGACATTGGGTTGGAATCAGTGGCGGCTCCTCAGAGGAGGAAGGGGAGGACCATCCTCCTCAGTGAATTTCATAAAAATATAGTGAAACATAAAAAAAGTTAACCTTTTTAGATAAAACTATACTAAATATATTCACGTCACCAAATAATCGATTAAAACACAGTGTTGCAATGAAGGTCGACAGTGGCCTCAACATAACTCTGTAGGGTAGCAACATGGTGTAGCCGGAGGACAGCTAGTTTCCGTCCTCCTCTGGGTACATTGACTTCAATATAAAACCTAGGAGGGTCGTGGTTCTCACCCCCTTCCATAAATTTACACAACTTCCAGAGGACGTCCTCTGACCTATCGGAGCTCTTGCAGCATGAACTGACATGTTGTCCACCCAAACAAATGATCAGAAAATGAATCTAGTACTGAAAGCATAAGCTACAGCTAGCTAGCACTGCAGTGCATAAAATGTGGTAAGTAGTTGACTCAAAGAGAGAGAAAGACAATAGTTGAACAGTATTGAACAAATTAATTTCTAAAAAAATTAAGAAGCAAGAGAGAGCGCTAGCTATATATAATTTTTATCCACTTTCACTTACTTAGCTAGCTAGTTTAGCCTACTCAAACACCCGGCTCAAACAGAGAGAGATGCTATGTTACCTAGCTAGCTATGGCTTTCCAACACTGGAACTCTTCCAAGTCAAGGTAAGCTTTTGGTTTTATTAATTTATTGCCACTGGGGCCGCCAGTGTAACTGCTAATTGACGTGAGCTAATATGGTGACAACAATGTAGGCTGTGTGTAGTGGTTATGATATGAAGGTTTGGCTTGGAACAATTTATTTTCGCCTGGTCATAGACAGCTGATGTGTTGTGCACTGAAGTCCACAAGCGAAGGGAAAAGTCCCCTGTAGTCCCCTGTAGCTCAGTTGGTAGAGCATGGCACTTGCAACGCCAGGGTTGTGGGTTCGTTTCCCACGGGGGGCCAGTATGAAAATGTATGCACTCACTAACTGTAAGTCGCTCTGGATAAGAGCGTCTGCTAAATGACAAAATGTTTAAAAAAATGTAAAAAAGGTGAGATGAGGAGAGCGCCTAGATGCGAGAAGGAATTATCTAACGATCAAAGTCACACTGTTTGTAAATGGCTGCTATGGAAGTGAACTGTGTGATCGAGTGTATTCATTCCGCAGATTCTGTTGAAAGAAATTTCTTAAACGGAAACAAACAACGAAAAGGGGATAAACATACATTAATTTGTCCAATAGAAACTCTTGTTTGCAACTGTTGGACTAATGATTACACCCTATATCAGCTAGATGCAGGCAAGAGTGTGCAAGGCGGTATTGAATGTGTCACTCTGTCACCTTGATTACTCAAATTTCTCTCGACCTGTGCACCTACGTTGTAAACTTTCATTCATAGGCTAGGTTGTAGCAACCTCATGATGGGTATAGGGAAAATTAGAGTAGCCTAAACCTATCAATGTTACATTGAGCTGGGTGAATGGAATATGAATGACAATCATCCAATATGCTGTAATAGAAATAAGGCCATGCTCATAAAATGTTTTATACTTATCCCTCATCTTAAACGGCACCGACCGCCACTGATTGGAATAAGGCCCCTGTATTGTGTGTGCGCACAGTGAGGGAAAAAAGTATTTCATCCCCTGCTGATTTTGTACGTTTGCCCACTGACAAAGAAATGATCAGTCTATAATTTTAATGGTAGGTTTATTTGAACAGTGAGAGACAGAATAACGACAAAAAAATCCAGAAAAACGCATGTAAAAAATGTTATAAATTGATTTGCATTTTAATGAGGGAAATAAGTATTTGACCCCCTCTCAATCAGAAAGATTTCTGGCTCCCAAGTGTCTTTTATACAGGTAACGAGCTGAGATTAGGAGCACACTCTTAAAGGGAGTGCTCCTAATCTCAGCTTGTTACCTGTATAAAAGACACCTGTCCACAGAAGCAATCAATCAATCAGATTCCAAACTCTCCACCATGGCCAAGACCAAAGAGCTCTCCAAGGATGTCAGGGACAAGATTGTAGACCTACACAAGGCTGGAATGGGCTACAAGACCATCACCAAGTAGCTTGGTGAGAAGGTGACAACAGCTGGTGCAATTATTCGCAAATGGAAGAAACACAAAAGAACTGTCAATCTCCCTCGGCCTGGGGCTCCATGCAAGATCTCACCTCGTGGAGTTGCAATGATCATGAGAACGGTGAGGAATCAGCCCAGAACTACACGGGAGGATCTTGTAGCTCAATTGGTAGAGCATGGCGCTTGTAACGCCAGGGTAGTGGGTTCGATCCCCGGGACCACCCATACGTAAAAATGTATGCACACGTGACTGTAAGTCGCTTTGGATAAAAGCGTCTGCTAAATGGCATATTATATTATTATATTATAATGATCTCAAGGCAGCTGGGACCATAGTCACCAAGAAAACAATTGGTAACACACTACGCCGTGAAGGACTGAAATCCTGCAGCGCCCACAAGGTCCCCCTGCTCAAGAAAGCACATATACAGGGCTGTCTGAAGTTTGCCAGTGAACATCTGAATGATTAAGAGGAGAACTGGGTGAAAGTGTTGTGGTCAGAAGAGACCAAAATCGAGCTCTTTGGCATCAACTCAACTCGCCGTGTTTGGAGGAGGAGGAATGCTGCCTATGACCCCAAGAACACCATCCCCACCATCAAACATGGAGGTGGAAACATTATGCTTTGGGGGTGTTTTTCTGCTAAGGGGACAGGACAACTTCACCGCATCAAAGAGACGATGGACGGGGCCATGTACCGTCAAATCTTGGGTGAGAACCTCCTTCCCTCAGCCAGGGCATTGAAAATGGGTCGTGGATGGGTATTCCAGCATGACAATGACCCAAAACACACGGCCAAGGCAACAAAGGAGTGGCTCAAGAAGAAGCACATTAAGGTCCTGGAGTGGCCTAGCCAGTCTCCAGACCTTAATCCCATAGAAAATCTGTGGAGGGAGCTGAAGGTTCGAGTTGCCAAATGTCAGCCTCGAAACCTTAATGACTTGGAGAAGATCTGCAAAGAGGAGTGGGACAAAATCCCTCCTGAGATGTGTGCAAACCTGGTGGCCAACTACAAGAAACGTCTGACCTCTGTGATTGCCAACAAGGGTTTTGCCACCAGGTACTAAGTAATGTTTTCCAGAGGGGTCAAATACTTATTTCCCTCATTAAAATTCAAATCAATTTATTAAATTTTTGACATGTATTTTTCTGGATTTTTATGTTGTTATTCTGTCTCTCACTGTTCAAATAAACCTACCATTAAAATTATAGACAGATCATGTCTTTGTCAGTGGGCAAACGTACAAAATCAGCAGGGGATCAAATACTTTTTTCCCTCACTGTATGTGTGCGTACGTTAGCGCATTTCCAATGTGTGGCTATGTGTCCCTGCCTGGCCCACAGCACCCTGCATGCCTGTCCTTCCTCCCTATAGGTCAGGGATTGGCCCACAGCACCCTGCATGCCTGTCCTTCCTCCCTATAGGTCAGGGATTGGCCCACAGCACCCTGCATGCCTGTCATTCCTCCCTATAGGTCAGGGATTGGCCCACAGCACCCTGCATGCCTGTCCTTCCTCCCTATAGGTCAGGGATTGGCCCACAGCACCCTGCATGCCTGTCATTCCTCCCTATAGGTCAGGGATTGGCCCACAGCACCCTGCATGCCTGTCATTCCTCCCTATAGGTCAGGGATTGGCCCACAGCACCCTGCATGCCTGTCATTCCTCCCTATAGGTCAGGGATTGGCCCACAGCACCCTGCATGCCTGTCCTTCCTCCCTATAGGTCAGGGATTGGCCCACAGCACCCTGCATGCCTGTCATTCCTCCCTATAGGTCAGGGATTGGCCCACAGCACCCTGCATGCCTGTCATTCCTCCCTATAGGTCAGGGATTGGCCCACAGCACCCTGCATGCCTGTCATTCCTCCCTATAGGTCAGGGATTGGCCCACAGCACCCTGCATGCCTGTCATTCCTCCCTATAGGTCAGGGATTTCCACTGGGACTGGGTGGACAGCCTGCTTCCTGCCCTGAGGCCTCCCCAGCCCCCCCCACGCCCTCCTCCCCTTGTCACCACAGCCATAACTTAACCCATCCCAACCTGCTCTCAAATAATACATTTTCTCTGGGAACAAAAAGCCAGTGACTGTGTTCATTATTTCATGACCTGCCACCACCCATGTCTCACTCAGGCATCCTGATGCGTCAGAGGTCAAAGCCCCCCCCCCCCCACCAGGTTAAACTGATGCAGGTCACCCAGACTGGCCGTCTCAAATGGGGGTATTTTAGGGTCACACAGAGCACAAAATGGCTATAGGGAAAAAATCCTCTTCATTCTTTTGTCAACTTCAGAACTCTTCATTAAGATGATAATAGAATCGGCTGCATTCGCTGCTTCATTTCCACAGGCATCTACAGAGAGACATCTGTGCACTGCCCACAAATCACATTGGTCTGGTTTGGAAACCCAGAGTGGTAGGATAAAGAAAAGCATATGTAAGCTTTTACTTGGGCATCTCTGCAGGCAAATGAACCTTAATTAAATAATGGGAGAGAAATATGGCATGGTAATGGAGTTAGAGACAGAGGGGAAGGCAGAACTGCTCCTACCTACTCCTGTCCTATACCCTGGCTCTCTGCCATGGCCTGAGCCCTCAATGTTCTGCCTCAGGTCTATATATATACATACGCACGCACGCACGCACACACACACACACACACACACACACACACACAGGGTGAGTTAATGTAAAGACAGGTATCATGATTATGGTTGCCAACTCAGATCAAGCTCATTCTGAGAGACCATACCTGGTTAAATAAAAAATACAATTTTTGTTTTGCATTTCAGTTATTCATCTGATTAGGGCATTTACAAAACGTCACAGAATAACTTTACTGCTGGTGAGGTAGGCCTACAGGCTGACTATAGAATACTAGGCCAAACGGGGAGTGTTGAATGACAACTCTAGCTGTGGTGTGTTCAGTTCAAGGCTCTCTGAGGATATTGATGTCCTGTCACTACATGAAATAGCAGAGTCCCACAGACACAGCAGTTTGTGAGCAGCTGCCTGCTGACAACGTCTTTACTCTGCTTGATGCAGGTCCACTGCTGTGCAGTGTGTGCTCTTCCTCCCTGAGAGAACGTCAATAGCATCTCCATCATTATCAGTCTGCTGCCCACCACACACCATCCAATCACTGTCAACGACAGAGGAGCCTCCTCCACTCAGGGATGCTGACAAACCCCTGACTCTCAGCCCCATGTCAGTCAGTCAGCCGGTCAGTCCAACCAAATGCCCTGACACTAACTAGAGAGTATTGACTCTGGTCAACAATGTGTATTGTTTTCTATTTAACTAGGCACGTCAGTTAAGAACAAATTCTTATTTACAATGATGGCCTACCTGTATGTGACCAATAAAATTTGATTTGAACATTTGATTTGAGTTCCTTGGCAGAGTGAATAGCTTGTAACAGTCAACAGCTTCCATTTTCTGATCTTTATTTGGTTCTCAATAATGCATGACTGTGTCAAACATGTCTGAATGATGAAATCAGAGGAGTTCTGAAATCCTGATATGCGAGCGCATTCACCACCACCAAGCATTGTGTAATGTTACCACATGCTACCAGTGTACCTACAGTATACAGTACACTATTATATTAGCCAAACAAATTGATATTTAATGTGTTTATACATGGTGCAATGGATAATACAGTTATACCTGTCATACAAAAGTTGACGTAATATTCAGTCATTAAAGTTATACAGTTATATTAACAAGAACCATCAATATTTCTTTAAAGCATATACCTTGTCGAGAGTTAACTGACTAATATTTATTTATAGCATGTAGGCTTCATTCACAGCCATCTTTGGCAAATCGGTTGCATTTTAAACTTGTAAGTTACAGTACCACTAACATGCAGATGTAATATTAGAACAGTCTTGAAATTACACATTTGTATACATCCATTTTTACATGAGCAACAATATTTTCCTAACTCCCCAAAGTGTGGGTGAGGTTAAAGGTCGGCCTCCGTTGGCACGGCAACCCACAGCTTGTGGTAAAGAACAGCTTATCCTGAAACATTCTCTTATACTATTGAGGGAATACAGGAAGAAATGCAGACTACAACTACAGTGGCTTGCGAAAGTATTCACCCCCCTTGGCATTTTTCCTATTTTGTTGCCTTACACAACCTGGAATTAAAATGGATTTTGGAGGGGTTTGTATCATTTGATTTACACAACATGCCTACCACTTTGAAGATGTAAAATATTTTTTCTTGTGAAACAAACAAGAAATAAGACAAAAAAACAGAACTTGAGCGTGCATAACTATTCACCCCCACAAAGTCAATACTTTGTAGAGCCACCTTTTGTAGCAATTACAGCTGCAAGTTTCTTGGGGTATGTCTCTATAAGCTTGGCACATCTAGCCACTGGGATTTTTGCCCATTCTTCAAGGCAAAACTGCTCCAGCTCCTTCAAGTTGGATGGGTTCCGCTGGTGTATAGCAATCTTTAAGTCATACCTCAGATTCTCAATTGGATTGAGGTCTGGGCTTTGACTAGGTCATTCCAAGACATTTAAATGTTTCCCCTTAAACCACTCAAGTGTTGCTTTAGCAGTATGCTTAGGGTCATTGTCCTGCTGGAAGGTGAACCTCCGTCCCAGTCTCAAATCTCTGGAAGACTGAAAGAGGTTTCCCTCAAGAATTTCCCTGTATTTAACGCCATCCATCATTCCTTCAATTCTGACCAGTTTCCCGATCCCTGCCGATGAAAAACATCCCCACAGCATGATGCTGCCACCACCATGCGTCACTGTGGGGATGGTGTTCTCGGGGTGATGAGAGGTGTTGGGTTTGCGCCAGACATAGCGTTTTCCTTGATGGCCAAAAAGCTCAATTTTAGTCTCATCTGACCAGAGTACCTTCTTCCATATGTTTGGGGAGTCTCCCACATGCCTTTTGGCGAACACCAAACGTGTTTGCTTATTTTTGTCTTTAAGCAATGGCTTTTTTCTGGCCACTCTTCCATAAAGCCCAGCTCTGTGGAGTGTACAGCTTAAAGTGGTCCTATGGACAGATACTCCAATCTCCGCTGTGGAGCTTTGCAGCTCCTTCAGGGTTATCTTTGGTCTCTTTGTTGCCTCTCTGATTAATGCCCTCCTTGCCTGGTCTATGAGTTTTGGTGGGCGGCCCTCTCTTGGCAGGTTTGTTGTGGTGCCATATTCTTTCAATTTTTTAATAATGGATTTAATGGTGCTCCGTTGGATGTTCAAAGTTTCGGATATTTTTTTATAACCCAACCCTGATCTGTACTTTTCCACAACTTTGTCCCTGACCTGTTTGGAGAGCTCCTTGGTCTTCATGGTGCCACTTGCTTGGTGGTGCCTCTTGCTTAGTGGTGTTGCAGACTCTGGGGCCTTTCAGAACAGGTGTATAAATACTGAGATCATGTGACAGATCATGTGACACTTAGATTGCACACAGGTGGACTTTATTTAACTAATTATGTGACTTCTGAAGGTAATTGGTTGCACCAGATCTTATTTAGGGTCTTCATAGCAAAGGGGGTGAATACATATGCACGCACCAGTTATTTTTTTCATTTCACTTCACCAATTTGGACTATTTTGTGTATGTCTATTACATGAAATCCAAATAAAAATCAATGTAATATTACAGGTTGTAATGCAACAAAATAGGAAAAACGCCAAGGGGGATGAATACTTTTGCAAGGCACTGTGTAGTGTTCAGTTCACCACTGAGTGGTGCAGTAGCTCTTCTCCAGTTATTTAAGCAGGCAGGCTGGATAAAGAGGTATCAAGAGGAGTACTGCTACAATATGATACAGAAAGATGTGTCCAGAGCTTTCTAACTGAGGCACCGTAGACTGTCCTAAGGTTTCCCACCCTATCTATCTAACTATCGGAATTCACTTCCTACCAAATAGCAGCTAAAACGGTTTCCTGTTCTGCAATGAGGAAATTATTGGAGAAAATGTAGTAGTGGTAATAATAACAGTTTGCCAGCCTTCACGTGTCATATCTCCCTGCAGACCGTAGTGCACTGAGGCCCTCCTCCATACCTAGAGGACTGATGGCATGAGTCATCAACGTGTACAGTAAGCACTTCTGAGTGAGGAGAGGGACAGTGTAACAGTCAGTGTGCAGCACAGACTCGGTGGTCTCATCTGTGGTCTACAGTGGATATAAGGGAGGATGTCTGTGAAAACCGCACGACCACAGCTACATTATGTTAGTGGTTCCTGAGTTAAATCGTGGAAATGTCAATCTAAACTAAAGCAAAGCTGACCATGTCCACAATGTTCAGATTCTGAACGGCCCTCTTGAACTACAGTCCAGTGCTATCACAAGCTAATAGAGCGCACAGGCCTGGCTGTCCCAAATGGCACCCTATCCCCTATATAGTGCGCTACTTTTGACCAAGGCCCATAGGACTCTGGTCAAAAGTAGTGCACTATATAGGGAATAGGGTGTAATTTGGGACAAGGCCCCTGCTCAGTTCTACCAGGTGGTGAGGGATCCCGGTCTGTCAGCTTGGCTGCTATTTCCACAAGCGGCCATCTTGGCTTTATGCTACTACTGTACAGTACATAGCTTTACTGTTCTTCTGAAGAGGATCTACCTCTTCAGTACAGACTGACCTAGGCTTAAGATCTACCTCTTCATAACATACAGAACAAGGCTTAAGATCTACCTCTTAAGAACATACAGAACAAGGCTTAAGATCTGCCTCTATTGAACAAGGCTCTCAGAATCCTCCTGAATACAGTATCATTATGACATGCCCCTCCTGTCCTGATTAGTGAAATTATAACATACAATATACTCCCTACGTACAATTGGAGACGTCTACCTACTATATATACACAGCACAAAGCTCATGACAACGATAGTAAGTATTGTGATTGGTAACATGCCTAGGTAGTGACATCTGTTGCCATGGTCACACAGCAATCTCAGCCTCATGCAAATGCTATATTACGTCATTCACATTGCAGTAAAATACACAGCATCCTGCTTCTGATTGTCCAGACCTGGTTCTCTTTTCTTTAACAGTGCTACGTCGAGGTAAATATGGCTTCCGGCTCCACCCACGAGTCTCTCTCTCTTTCTCAGAGCTCTCCTATTGGCTGTCTGTCACTTCTCTCATTTGACCGCCTCTCGTTCAGCGGCAGGCCCTGGTCCTATCAGGTATGGTGTGGGCGGAGCCTCTTCAGTCTTGGGTTGAGTTTTATTTAAGACAAAGTGAAATTGTCCTGTGCGTTTCCTGTGAATGGGTGAGGGGGCATTTTACTCGCCACCCCCCACCTCCTCGGGAACTACATGGCTTCAGCAGCGATTCAACAGAGTTAGTGTGTGTAGTTTTAGTCATTTTGTCAGGTTTAGTCCAGTTTGTCACCACTTCCTTTTTGAGTCTCTTGTTTGCAGTGTTGTTGTTGATCTTTCTTCTTTTTTTTTTTTTTTTTTGCATTACCGACATCCTGTTTAGTGCCAAAGCAAACAAGACATGAAGGATCCCACTGCTGTGTCCAGGTTCCTCTTCATGTGAAATAATTGCAGTTTGTAGAGTCAATGACACAGTACGGAGTGCATCTGAGACGACCATAAGACCTGGGAATCAAGGAGAAATAGAACCCTCTGTCAACTAATCATGACAATGGCAGACAGTGTTACTGCTCCATAGGGAACACACAGTTATGAGGTTACATACAGTAAGATATGAAAAGCAGACAAGAATGGATCAAGACAGTAGTCCTACTAACCCTGGGAGATATGAGTTGCATGTCTGATAGCCAAAGTCCTTTCCATCACATTCCTCGGCCCCGTCGTAACGATAACCATCTCCACAGTAAGCATGTTTACACTCTGTCAGGAGGAAGAGATGGAGAGAGAAACAGAGAGGGAGAAAAACAGAGAGAGACACAGAGAGAGAGACACACGGTGAGAGAGACACACGGAGAGAGAGACACACAGAGAGAGAGACACACAGAGAGAGAGACACGGAGAGAGACACACACAGAGAGAGACACAGAGACACAGAGAGAGGGACACACAGAGAGAGGGACACACAGAGAGAGAGAGACAGAGAGACAGAGAGAGAGAGACACGGAGAGAGAGACAGAGACACGGAGAGAGAGACACACAGAGAGAGACACACAGAGAGAGGGACACACAGAGAGAGAGAGACAGAGAGACACAGAGAGAGAGATACAGAGAGAGAGACACACAGAGAGAGAGACACACGGAGAGAGACACACACGGAGAGAGAGACACAGGGAGAGAGGGACACACAGAGAGACAGAGAGAGAGACAGAGACACAGAGAGAAAGAGAGACAAGGAGGGAAAGACACACAGAGAGAAAGACACGGAGAGAGAGACACACGGAGAGAGAGACACAGAGAGAGAGAGACACAGAGAGAGAGACAGAGACATGGAGAGACGGAGAGAGAGACACAGAGAGAGAGACAGAGACACGGACAGAGAGACAGATAAATTGCCATCCAAACCAGACCGGTGCTTCTGTATGTCATCAATAGCATTATCATTTAGTAAGTTACTTCATCCAAATCAACTTCCCATGCGGTAATCGAACCCACAACTCCAGGCTCCAACAAACGGAACCATCGGCAGAACCAAACCACAGATCTTGTTCATCCACTATGATAACGTGACTTACTGACGCAGCCGTCGGTGACAATCCTATTCCCGTCGTCACATTCCTCCCCGTTGGGAATCTGAACGATCCCGTCGCCACAGTAACCCTCCTGTTCCGGAGCGTTCTCCGTAGACTGGAACGGTGTCAGCTGGAAGAAAGGAGTCTATTACAGAGATTAGAAACTAAAACAAAGAAAATTAAATAAAACTGTAACTTAAAGATGAACCTCGCCAGGCAATACTGTAAGCACTTAGACATATCACGTTTAGAAGATAGTGCATCGGGTGAGGTACCTGAATCGGCAGCCATCCGTTGGTGTCTTTGAAGTAAAGTGATCTCTGGTCTTTCCGGAAGGCTAGGGCGTTGTCCGTATGAAGACGATCTAGTTCTTCTTTATTGTTTACCACAAATATCTGTAAACAACAAAGACTCATTCTGGGTGAGACACAATAAAGACTCATTCTGGGTGAGACAACAAAGACTAATTTGGTCTATCAAGTGCCTTAGCTGAGGCAAGTTTATGATTCGCAATAATGTTGATCATGTGTTGCATGCTCACCGCTGGCACTTTGGCGTAGTCGCTCCTGGAACTATGTTCATCAAACTGTGGGCTGTTAATACTAACAGAGTTACAGCTGCAAGTTCCAGGAAGACCTGGTAGCCCCCTCTCACCTTTCGTTCCGACCACGTAGAGTCCTGAACAAGAAATACATCTTTAGATCATATATTATCGATGTAGGCACACAAGCACAGAGTACCATATTCACAGGGACTGTATGTTATAAATGCACTATCCGGGCCCCCTTGTCTATCTATCAAGTTGGTAAAGCAATCAACTCAATTTGAGCAGAAACCTGAACAAGACACCGGCTGTCACAGTTTAATTACATGGTGACATAATGTTTGTAAATATGTAAGGAGCTTCTTGGCCCTCTATGAATCCGTTTTAAGGACATGATGTCATGGCTTCATCATCCATCCCATCCCAGTGTCCCCCTGCCACCCCACCCCCTCTGGGCATCTGTTTCACCTCAGGGGGGGGATAGAAAGGGGGGGATCAGGTTCCTCTGAAGCTAAATAAGCTCTCTGGTGTTACCTCCTGCTGTGTTTTAATGTCTGCTTCCTTTCGCAGATGCTGACACGGGAGGTTGCCTGCCTACAGCTTCACACCCATCCCTGAAGCTTCTCACACTGACAGGACATATGGACGATTTCCAAACCGCACATTAAACCTCAAATGTACTTTCCAGTGAGATTCTCCATTGGGCATGCTTTTTATTACAGGACCAGGTTTAATAATCTAGGTCTGATAAACTAGCCTTCAGAGTCCAGAAAATGGGCAGAGCCTCCAACAATGAACAAACCAATAACTCTAAATCTGACTCAATGCTCTTCCCTAGAATTCATCCAGCTACACACTCAACATGCATCTACAGACTGGCAACAGATTAGCATGTTAGCCCAGCCACACTCCCTAGCCCTACAGCTGGCTCTAAAGCAGCCAAGCTCAGATGGAAGAGCCGATGGAGGAGGTGGTGGAGAGGTCCTTACCTGAGGCTGGCAGACCTGGGGGACCAGGGTGGCCGGGGGGCCCCTGAGGACCTGCTGGACCTAGAGGGCCGATAATCCCATTGTCGCCCTTCCCTCCCTGATAAATCAGACAAGATAAACAACACATGTAAAAACATCGACAGACAAACATATGGTAAACCTTCAGCGGTCAAAACATGTCGCCACATCATAGTGATTTGAAGTTACAGTATGTTGCTCAAAGAGCGGCAAAACTTTTTTTAATCACAGCTTCTAACAGCATGTGATACAGTGGCTTGCGAAAGTGTTCACCCCCCTTGGCATTTTCCTGTTTTGTTGCCTTACAACCTGGAATTAAAATGGATTTTTTGGGTGTTTGTATCATTTGATTTACACAACATGCCTACCACTTTGAAGATGCAAAATAAAAAAAATTTGTGAAACAAACAAGAAATAAGACAAAAAACAGAAAACTTGAGCGTGCATAACTATTCACCCCCCCAAAGTCAATACTTTGTAGAGCCACCTTTTGCAGCAATTACAGCTGCAAGTCTCTTGGGGTATGTCTCTATAAGCTTGGCACATCTAGCCACTGGGATTTTTGCCCATTCTTCAAGGTAAAACTGCTCTAGCTCCTTCAAGTTGGATGGGTTCCGCTGGTGTATAGCAATCTTTAAGTCATACCACAGATTCTCAATTGGATTGAGGTCTGGGCTTTGACTAGGTCATTCCAAGACATTTAAATGTTTCCCCTTAAACCACTCGAGTGTTGCTTTAGCAGTATGCTTAGGGTTATTGTCCTGCTAGAAGGTGAACCTCCATCCCAGTCTCAATTCTCTGGAAGATTGAAACAGGTTTCCCTCAAGAATTTCCCTGTATTTAGCGCCATCAATCATTCCTTCAATTCTGACCAGTTTCCCAGTCCCTGCCGATGAAAAATATGGTGTTCTCAGGGTGATGAGAGGTGTTGGGTTTGCGCTAGACATAGCGTTTTCCTTGATGGACAAAAAGCTAAATGTTTGTCTCATCTGACCAGAGTACCTTCTTCCATATGTTTGAGGAGTCTCCCACATGAATTTTGGCGAACACCAAACATGTTTGCTTATTTTTTTCTTTAAGCAATAGCTTTTTTCTGGTCACTCTTCCGTAAAGCCCAGCTCCTATGGACAGATACTCCAACCTCCGCTGTGGAGCTTTGCAGCGCCTTCGGGGTTATCTTTGGTCTCTTTGTTGCCTCTCTGATTAATACCCTCCTTGCCTGGTCCGTGAGTTTTGGTGGGCGGCCCTCTCTTGGCAGGTTTGTTGTGGTGCCATATTCTTTCCATTTTTAAATAACGGATTTAATGGTGCTCCGTGGGATGTTCAAAGTTTCTGATATTTTTTTGTAACCCAACCCTGATCTGTACTTTTCCACAACTTTGTCCCTGACCTGTTTGGAGAGCTCCTTGGTCTTCATGGTGCCGCTTGCTTGGTGGTGCCCCTTGCTTAGTGGTGTTGCAGACTCTGGGGCCTTTCAGAACAGGTATATAAATACTGAGATCATGTGACAGATCATGTGACACTTAGATTGCACACAGGTGGACTTTATTTAACTAATTATGTGACTTCTGAAGGTAATTGGTTGCACCAGATCTTGTTTAGGGGCTTCATAGTAAAAGGGGGTGAATACATACGCACGCACCACTTTTCCGTTATTTATTTATTTAGAATTTCTTGAAACAAGTTCTAATTTGGACTATTTTGTGTATGTCCATTACATGAAATCCAAATAAAAATCCATTTAAATTACAGGTTGTAATGCAACAAAATTGGAAAAACGCCAAGGGGGATGAATACTTTTGCAAGGCACTGTTTTACATCATTAAGATCCAAATAAGATCCTAATACAGAATATCTCTCAACTGTTTAATAAAGTATATATCTCAACTGTTTAATAAAGTATATCTCACCTGTTTAATAAAGAATATCTCTCAACTGTTTAATAAAGAATATATCTCACCTGTTTAATAAAGTATATCTCACCTGTTTAATAAAGTATATCTCACCTGTTTGCCCCTCTTCCCTGGTCTGCCCGTCGGTCCTCTATTCCCTGAGATTCCAGGTTCTCCCTTTGGACCCATTTCACCCTAAAGACATAACAAACCACAGCACTCCATCAATAACAACATATACTGGTACATCATATAAATAACTGTGGTCCAATTTAGAATTGTGTTATTGAGTTATTATGGAGGGCCAGTTGATTCTGGTTCTATCCTGTTGTTCAATGAACCTCCACTACACTTCACCTACAATGACCTCCTCCTGCCCCCCTCCCCCCCGCTCCTACTCCCACTCCTCCTTCACCTGCTCCCCCCCCTCCTCCTCCTCCTCCTCCTCCTCCTCCTCCTCCACATCAACCCCAGCAGCTGATAAACATCAGATAATGTCTAGATCAAGAGATCACAAGATGTATGTCTCACTTTCTGTCCAAGCATTCCAGGGAAGCCCATTGTGCCCTTGTCTCCCTTCCTCCCAGCCTCACTACGGTCACCACGGGAACCCTGATGAGACAGGAGACAAAACAACTGTACAGCCAACTGTAAACACTGAAAACAGACAAACAGTGTTGTTGAACCAACCCAGTGGAACTGAGATATGGTTATGTAATGTAATAGAATAAAAGAAAGCAGTCTAACACATTTGAAGTAATCACACACCTTTTCTCCTTTGTATCCGGGTAAACCCTAGGAAGGAAGATCAGAAGTCTGAAGTATAGACAATATGAATAACTTTATGGTTGAAATCAGACAATTTTCTCGGGGAAAGATGAAGCTTCACAGACCTTAGGTCCAAGAGGTCCTCTTACTCCAGGTAATCCCATCAATCCACCATCTCCCTTCTCCCCCTGCCACACACACACACACACACACACACACACACACACACACACACACACACACACACACAGAGACACACACACACACACACACACACACACACACACACACACACACACACACACACACACACACACACACACACACACACACACACACACACACAGACACAGACACACACACACACACACACACACACACACACACACAGACACAGACACACACACACACACACACACACACACACACACACACACACAGAGACATGGCTCTGATAACACAGTCTTCATCTACCTTTACACATCATATCATACAGACGTGGTATCTTAATTTGATCACTCTGTTGTCGCAGAGAATTTTCCTGCACCGTAGGAAATTCAAATGAGCCTCGTGATTTACATAAATTCACTGAAAACCCTTTCTCTTTCTCTTACTAGATCCTAATATATAGTCTACTGTAGCCTATCAAAACTATTCTCATTTCTCGTTAGAAAATAATCAAATCCTCCTGCTGCAGGATTATTTTACTCCTGTGACGAAACAGGCCAAATTAAGATCTAACACCTGTACGTACAGGAACACACATACCATTTTTTAATGTTATTTTTTTCACCATACTATGGTACGGTAAAATACCATATTGATATATGGGCACTATGAAATAGGACTTACTCACTTTGGGCCCATTTGGTCCTGGCCACCCGGCTGGTCCCTGGCGCCCCGGGAGACCTGGAAGCCCCGTCCGACCCTGATGGGCCACAACATAATTTAACACATTATACGGTCATTTAGCACAGAGGATCCCACATTATTATGTTTTGCGTGGGGGATTGTGATAGAAAATTAATCGGGGACCCCTCATAATATCAGAATGCAAGTCCTACTTTAGAGTGCACTACAAATAGCATACAAGCAGTTTTACTATGACTTCAAGTCTTGGGCAACGGGAAACACATTTTTAAAGGCCCCCCTCTTAGCGTCAGAGAAAAAAAGCTAATTACCTGCAATTCTACACATTTTGCCTTTGGGCATAGATAACATTTTAAAGCTAATTTCTTGCAATTCTAGTACAACAAGTGTACATTTCGTCAACAATGACTATGACGAAAAATACTTGTCAACGACTTATTTTTCCTGACTAAAACTATGACGATAACGAGACGAGATGCCCTGGAAAAAAAAACAATAACTGTAACAAATTCGTTTTAACTTTAGTTGACAAAAATGTGGCCAGACGAGAATTCCATGTGAGATTAATGGACATTTAATTTGAAATGAAGCTCCTTTTCATCTGTTTTGTCCAATCAGAGCATGAATGCAGAATATTTCATGCAACCCTCTCATTGGCAGAGTTGACATCTTTCAGTTGCGCAATCTGATTGGCTGATCTGCCCGGCTCTCCCACACAGCTCCCAGGTGGTCTCTTCAGTCACTCTTCAATCTGATTGGCTGATCTGCCCGGCTCTCCCACACAGCTCCCAGGTGGTCTCTTCAGTCACTCTTCAATCTGATTGGCTGATCTGCCCGGCTCTCCCACACAGCTCCCAGGTGGTCTCTTCAGTCATTCTTCAATCTGATTGGCTGATCTGCCCGGCTCTCCCACACAGCTCCCAGGTGGTCTCTTCAGTCATTCTTCAATCTGATTGGCTGATCTGCCCGGCTCTCCCACACAGCTCCCAGGTGGTCTCTTCAGTCATTCTTCAATCTGATTGGCTGATCTGCCCGGCTCTCCCACACAGCTCCCAGGTGGTCTCTTCAGTCATTCTTCAATCTTTTTTGAACTGATGCGAAGCCAGAACACTTGTAACTAACCTCAACTAGAAACAATAATGTTTATTAAGAACACCTTCTTAATATTGAGTTGCAGCCCCTTTTGCCCTCAGAACAGCCTCAATTCGTCGGGATATGGACTCTACAAGGTGTCGAAAGTGTTCCACAGGGATGCTGGCCCATGTTGACTCCAATGCTTCCCACAGTTGTGTCAAGTTGGCTGGATGTCCTTTGGGTGATGGACCATTCTTGATACACATGGGAAACTGTTGAGCGTGAAAAACCCAGCAGCATTGTAGTTCTTGACACAAACAGGTGCACCTGGCACTTACTACCATACCCCGTTCAAAGGCACTTAAATATTTTGTCTTGCCCATTCACCCTCTGAATGGCACACATACACAATCCATGTCTCAATTGTCTTAAGGCTTAAAAATCCTTCTTTAACCTGTCTCCTCCCCTTCATCTACACTGATTGAAGTGGATTTAACAAGTGACATCAATAAAGGATCATAGCTTTCACCTGGATTCACCTGGTCAGTCTGTGTAAATCCTCATTATTTAGTTGAATGATTTTCAATGTGAGTGTCATTTCTATATAGCCTACACTTTCTCATTCTGAACTACTAACGCCAGTGGAACGGATGTTCGTGACAATGACCACATGAGTAGCTGCCGTTCACTGATTTGACAGCTCTAACACAGTTCCACCTCTGACACCGCCAAAACATCAGCTATGAGGTGTCGGCTATCGCCTGTTAACACTTGATCTAATTAAATGTAGGTCTAAGACTAAAACTAAATCTAAAAAATGTGACGAAATCAACAGTGAATTCTACACATTTTGCCATGTTGCAGTTTTTGGCTTAAATTACAGTGCACTCATGTTCAAAACAACATTTTTGGGGAATAAAATAAGAATTTAGTTAAACAAATGTATTATTGATGGAGTACTGTGGATACCAATATCCCTGTGAGCCTCCCCGGCCCATGTTGTGCGTCTAACGCTTAAGAACATAAATTGTGGATGAATATTACATTGTATTGCACCCTCTAGTCTAAACTCTTTTCACAGATCGGTTGAGCAATATTCATAGATTTTTGTTATTTTTATTATTATTATATATTTTTTTGATCTGGCTGCAGACCCCCTGCAGTACTCCCCCTTTGGGAACGACTGATTTAGCATACTTTTTACAGTTATCACACATAGTACCACAGGAGGTTGGTGGTACCTTGATTGGGGAGGACGTGCTCATGGTAATGACTGGAGTGGAATCAGTGGAATGGTATCAAATACATCCAACACATGGTTTCCATGGTTTCCATTAGTTTGATGACATTCCATTTGTACCATTAAGGCCATTATTATGAGCTGTCCTCCCTCAGCAGCCTCCTGTGTACGGTACATAGGGTATATGTGAGAATAGCTGAGCCATATCAGAACCTTTAAAACACTACTTTAACCAGACCAGAAGTTCTGAACTGACTAGAAAACACAGGCCATGAAGACGGCCATATAAAGAATTACCAGCTGACCTACCAGACGCTAGAACACAACCATTCAACTGAATGAATCAGCAGCTCTCCATGTAAACTGTGTACTGTGCAGTATCATCTTTTCGTGTGTAATATCGTAAAAGTAGAAGTAACATGTAGCATGAGTTACAAACATGATTGTTCTGAATGGTTACAGAGAATTCCGTGAGCTGGTGGGGATGTTGACATGACAACCTGTGTAGTGTTTTTACCCTGGTCCGCCATGTGGAGAGAGAGAAGGACTTTAACAAGGGCTGTCACTCTGCCCTCTTTAATGAAATGATAGGCCGCATATAGAACAGGAGGCCCGCTGCTTGTGGGAAATAAAATGATTTATGGTCTGGCTCGAGCACTAAGCTAAATTGCACTGCAATGCTGCTGCTGCACACAGCCAGCCCCGCAGCTCACAGAGCAGGGCAGTGAACGTATAGATGGATCCATCCTCCAATACCAATGGGAGCGGGGATGGACCACATGACAGGAAAGTGGGGGTGTATTCGGAGGGATTAAATGTTCAGAATGTTGCAGATATAAATTAAATAGATAGAGTGAGTTCGAATTCCCTATTCTATACGACCTACAATCATCTATTTTCTATGCAATACATCTCTATGTGAAGGTGCTGTAACGATGCACCCTCCTGAACAGGGCCTAGTGAAGCTGGATGGGTTTCAGGAGCTAACAGGGTGACCAATACTTCCCCATCTGTTAGAGGAGACATGGGACGGGGTGGGAGGTTCATCCACTCTCCACTCCAACTCAGCAGAATGCTTCTATACATCTTCTATCTCAGCGGCTCTCTCTGTGTCCTAGCTATCCTAGCATCCTGGCAAGGTTGTGCTGCTAGTCTTCCTCTGCATTTCATAATGTTCATAACCAGGCAGCGGGCGGACAGGCGGGCGGCGGGGACGTGAGTTACAGCCCACCAGACAGACTGAGAAGGGACTGGATCTCATTTTTGAGCAAATCCACTTAGCAGAGCTAATAGAATGATCAATGGACGCCCTCACCTTTTGTCCAGGTCGTCCCAGTTCTCCCTGGAGGTACAGAGACAGAGACAGAGACAGAGACAGAGACAGAGGCAGAGACAGAGACAGAGACAGAGGTAGCGAGACAGAGACAGAGACAGAGACAGAGACAGAGACAGAGACAGAGACAGAGACAGAGACAGAGACAGAGACAGAGACAGAGACAGATGCAGAGACAGAGACAGGGGTAGAGACAGAGACAGAGACAGAGACAGAGACAGAGACAGAGACAGAGACAGAGACAGAGGTAGAGAGACAGAGACAGAGACAGAGACAGAGACAGAGACAGAGACAGAGACAGAGACAGAGACAGAGACAGAGACAGAGACAGAGACAGAGGTAGAGAGACAGAGACAGAGACAGAGACAGAGACAGAGACAGAGACAGAGACAGAGACAGAGACAGAGACAGAGGCAGAGGCAGAGACAGAGACAGAGACAGAGACAGAGACAGAGACAGAGACAGAGACAGAGACAGAGACAGAGACAGAGACAGAGGCAGAGGCAGAGACAGAGGCAGAGGCAGAGACAGAGACAGAGACAGAGGTAGAGAGACAGAGACAGAGACAGAGACAGAGACAGAGACAGAGACAGAGACAGAGACAGAGACAGAGATAGAGACAGAGGCAGAGGCAGAGGCAGAGACAGAGACAGAGACAGAGACAGAGGCAGAGGCAGAGACAGAGACAGAGACAGAGACAGAGACAGAGACAGAGACAGAGACAGAGGTAGAGAGACAGAGACAGAGACAGAGACAGAGACAGAGACAGAGACAGAGACAGAGATAGAGACAGAGGCAGAGGCAGAGGCAGAGACAGAGACAGAGACAGAGACAGAGACAGAGGCAGAGACAGAGACAGAGACAGAGACAGAGACAGAGACAGAGACAGAGACAGAGACATACAGTTATAACTAGTGCTTTTCATACAAGCCCTTTCCTCTTCGTATAATGACAACTTTCAATCAGTCACTAAACATCTAATGTAAAAAAAAAATGTATTTTATAAATGACACTTACCTTTTCTCCTTTTGGTCCCTTCAGACCTGGTAGCCCAGCTGGACCCTGTAGAAGGTCAACAATAATCATATATATAAACAATTAGAACATGTTATTATTATTTAAAACAATTTTTTGGGGGGGGCAATCGACTGATTATTTACAATCCCAATAATATTCTGAATTCCCTTCATAATATCCTGTAATATCAATTAGCAGGTACAGGATAATATTGACACTAAATGTGCTTGTTAGCTTCATTTGCAGTCAGCTAACTCTGGTGCCATGCTGTATAGGCTAAATTGTGCATGAATTGTGCATGAATACTGATGTGAAAAACAATCTGAAGGGTCTGCTAACCATGCTCTCCTCTCCCTGACAGAATGCCATCTAGGCAATTGGCAATTTATAGGACTCTGGGATTACTATAGGATCTGCTACATTACAACACCACCACCACCCACCACTACCCACCCACCCTCCACACAGCAACACCACCACCCACCCTCCGCACACAGCAACACCACCACCCAACCAAACCCTCCACAACAGCAAAAACACCACCAAACCACAACCTCCACAACAGCAAACACACCACCCACCCAACCCCACCTCCACACAGCAACACCACCACCCACCCACCCTCCACACAGCAACACCACCACCCACCCACCCTCCACACAGCAACACCACCACCCACCCACCCTCCACACAGCAACACGGCGACACCACCCAACCACCCTCCACACAGCAACACCACCACCACCCACCCTCCACACAGCAACACCACCACCCACCCACCCTCCCACACAGCAACACCACCACCACCACACCACCACCCTCCACCACAGCAACACCACAACCAAACCACCACACCCACCCACCCTCCACACAGCAACAAACACAAACCAACCACCCACCCACCCACCCACACACAAACCAACAACCCCACACACAGCAACACCACCACCCACCCTCCACACAGTAACACCACCACCACCCACCTCCAAAAAGTAATACACCACCACCACCCACCTCCACACAACACCACCACCACCACCACCACCACCCTCCACTCAGTAACACCACCACCACCCACCCACCCTCCACCCACCCTCCACACAGCAACACCACCACCACCCTCCACACAGCAACACCACCACCACCCACCCACCACCACCACCCACCCTCCACACAGCAACACCACAACCACCCACCCACCCTCCACACAGCAACACCACCACCCACCCTTCGCACATAGATACACCACCACCACCACCCACCCTCCACACAGCAACACCACAACCACCCACCACCACCCACCCTCCACACAGCAACACCACCACCACCCATCCACCCTCCACACAGAAACACATGGAAATGAATCACATGCAGCCTAACCAGGTTGTTGTGTATACAAGGCGATACAGGAATGTACTCCCTCCACTCAATATGCCTTTCCAAGCAGACCGGGCTGTTTGGGATGTTTCTAAGAATGGTGTGTGGAGGGACAGAGAGCCGTGGCAGCCAGTGGAAAAAGTCTATTTGCGTCGTGTCTAAATGTGGAGTGTTAATGGGATGCTGTGTTGGAGGGCTCCATGTAATCCCAATTCTCCGTCCCCGTCTCCGTCCCCATCCCCGTTCCGTCCCCATCCCTGTTCCCGTCTCCGTCCCAGTCTCCGTCCCTGTCCCCGTCCCCATCCCCGTCCCTGTCCCTGTCCCCGTTCCCGTCTCCGTTCTCGTCTCCATCCCTGTCCCCGTTCCCGTCCCCGTCCCCGTCCCCGTCCCCGTCCCCATCCCCGTCCCTGTCTCCAGCTCTAGAGGTACAACAGGAAGGGAGGAGAAGGAACTCACACGGGTCTCAGATGGTAAAGCGCTGCTAGGGGCCTATAGAGGACATAGCCAACCCCCAACACCTGTATACCGCCATTTCTGAAAAGTAAGGAAGCTCAGGCAACTAACTGAGGTGTCCACCTGATAAGCCCTGATTAAATACTCTTCCAAATATCTGGCTTATAAAGACAAAGTGATGAAGCCAACGGGATGACAATGTTAACATGAGACAGCTGCGGGGTGGATAAGTTTACCTACCTGAGGACCGGGGGGTCCATCGGGGCCTGGGGGGCCTGGGACACAGGTGGGACCTTTCAGCTCCGTCCCTGGATCTGGATCTTCACCATGTTTTCCTCCATTATCGGACTCTTCATTCTAAACCAATCAAACAAAAACACTTCCATTTAATAATTGCTTTATTTAATAATAAAATGATCAGTAGTTATTTGCGGTACTGAAGTACAATTACAGTACAATTAAGATTGTGGATCACTTATACACTATTTGCCAATCAAAATGACAGCTGTGTGTCATGTCATCTGTCAGTTTGAATTAGAGATTGTACACAATCATTCAGCGTAAACTCCTGGTCATCACTCCTCTTGAGTTTACAGTCTAGGCTATAGGCTGAGGGTTGTATCTCTAAGGACCCTCTAACAGGATAGGCTGAGGGTTGTATCTCTAAGAGGACCCTCTAACAGGATAGGCTGAGGGTTGTATCTCTAAGGACCCTCTAACAGGATAGGCTGAGGGTTGTATCTCTAAGGACCCTCTAACAGGATAGGCTGAGGGTTGTATCTCTAAGAGGACCCTCTAAGGTCGTATCCCCTCATCAACCCTGATCTGCAGTCAGCACTCGGTGGGAGACCAGTTAATCCATCGCTTCCTGCACACACCTACTCTATCATCAGAAATCCCTACTGCTCTTAGTCAGGGGCAGAGGAGGGCAAGAGTGAGGCTAAGTCACAAATGGCACGCTATTCCCTATACATTATAGTCCACTACTTTTGACCATAGCCCTATCAAAAGTAGTACGCTATGTAGGGAAAAGGGTGCAATTTGGAACATAGCCAGGGAGTGAGGTTTGGATAGCACCCAAGGACAAATCAACAATCATACACTCCACAAGGACAAGTCACATGACTTTGGACTCACATGACCACCGCGTTGCCACAGTGAGGGGGGAGGAGGGAACAGGGGGGGCGGGGGCGGACTCAGTAAACAGCAGGGGTTGAATTTCCTCTGCTGGTCCAAGGCAGGTTGTTGTTGGAGAGCTGGGGAAAGTAGTGGACAGTATGGTAAGTCAGTCACATGGGAAGTAAATACACACCGACCCCGCAGAGGGGGTTTGTCATGTAGACATCAGTGGGAAATTAAACGAATAGAGTCAGTGTCAAAACTGGTTGAAGGGGCTTAAAGAAAACCCAATGTTTGCTTATTTCTAACAGCATCAAAGTGTATGGTAAGGTGTGTATAATAATCTGTATGTTACTGCGTCCTGTTGAGGCAGAGACCAGACAACACCTCACTAACAAGCCATAAAGGAAAATCTCCTGCATAGGGGCATTGCCAAAGAACTGGTGTTGCAGCTGCCTAGTTCAAATCCACTCAATCAGCAGATCCTCCCCTTCACAACAAACATCAGCTGAACTGAAAGTAATCTGTAAATGTATGGAAATGCACTGTCTGGCAGGTTATTGCAGACACTAGAAGCTACACATGGTATCTATATAGGTATATACTACAAAAACTGAAATACATCTACAAATCAGACAAATAATAACTAGAATATAATAAGAACTGAAATCACACAGGGAACTGTAACATGACAGTAACATGATGAGTGTAGTGACATCACGGCATCCACACTGGAGAGAGCTGCTCCCGGCTCTGGCTGAATACAGATATGAGGCACCATATGCCTTCCTCCCTGTCAGGAACTGTAGACAGACGCTATTTATAGAGACATTTCCATTCTGACAGCATTTCATATTCCATAAATTACAGGAAAATACACAGCAACAGACACTTCAAAGTGCAGAGACAATCGTGATAAGACATGATGTTGAGTTTACCCAGGGTCGGACTGCAGCTTGTCAAAACCATGCATGACATATTCCTGCACGCACACAGACACACATATAAACACACACATGCATGAGTGTGCGCATGTACACACACACACACACACACACACACACACACACACACACACACACACGGCTGGCTCTCTTACCTGCTGGGAATGAGAGAATATTGTCCAGGAAAGAAGACTGAGACAGGACATAACAAAACAATAGTGGAAGATAGAGTCCAAATGTGATGAGGATCATGCTGCTGTAAATACAATACCCTGTCTGTCTCTAACTTGGGTTTACTGAAGAGCCACAGCAAAATGACTCCACTCTCACTCTCTCTGACTCTCTCTGACTTTCTCTCACTCTCTCTGACTCTCTCTCCCTCTCTCTCTCTCTCTCAGTATCCCTGCGCCTTTAGGAGGGGGGTGCCTGCCAACCATTGCCCACTCCTGCATCAGTGTACACTAAAATTACAGAAGGCAGCCTGTCAGCTGCCCTTTGTGACAATATTAGAATCTTACTACTGCAAGGGATGCCTTTCTTAATCGTTTCCCTCTCCGCTCATACGGATACAAGACTACAAAATATACTACATGGCCGGAATGACATTGGAAAGACCATACTCTCTACAGTACAAACACTTGCCTCTTGATGACCACTGTATAAATAAATACTATGTGGTCACTTCACAACTGTAGCAAATAAACAGAACATAATTTCACAAGGTAGATGACCTTGTACATGTCGCACAAGACAAGGAAAAATAAACACGGTTCTGTCATGAATGCACGCAAATCACAAATACACCTGTGACCGGTTGTCACTGTAAAAAATATAATCCAACACATTTGTTAGATTATACGATTATTATCAGAAAAATAAGGTTTACGCACCACATGGATACGCAATGAATAGTGTCACACAGCATTCACTACAGCATCGGTCTCTGAGGATATATATCGATTAGACCACCCCATTGGTTTTATCAGCCTCTGCAGCAAAATGAATGGCCAGGCATTTACAAAGAGGCACTTGAATCTTGGGCATGGCAGGGGAGCAATATAGACGCCAGTATCAATTTAAATAAATGAAAGTTAAAGTCTTGAATTATCAGCAGTATTTCTGTCTGTAATAAAGTGCTTTTTTGAAGAAAGACTCATTCTGATTGGCTGGGCCTGGTTCCCCAGTGAGTGGACCTTTCTCCCAATGGCTGCACCCCTGCCCAGTCATGTGAAATCCATAGATTAGGGCCTAATGATTTTATTTCAATTGACTGATTTCCTTCTATGAACTGTAAAATCGTTGAAATTGTTGCATGTTGCATTAATACTTGTTATCAGTATAAAAGACACCTGTCCACAACCTCAAACAGTCACACTCCAAACTCCACTATGGCCAAGACCAAAGAGCTGTCAAAGGACACCAGAAACAAAATTGTAGACCTGCACCAGGCTGGGAAGACTGAATCTGCAATAGGTAAGCAGCTTGGTTTGAAGAAATCAACTGTGGGAGCAATTATTAGGAAATGGAAGACATACAAGACCACTGATAATCTCCCTCGATCTGGGGCTCCACGCAAGATCTCACCCCGTGGGGTCAAAATGATCACAAGAACGGTGAGCAAAAATCCCAGAACCAGGACCTAGTGAATGACCTGCAGAGAGCTGGGACCAAAGTAACAAAGCCTACCATCAGTAACACACTACGCCGCCAGGGACTCAAATCCTGCAGTGCCAGACGTGTCCCCCTGCTTAAGCCAGTACATGTCCAGGCCTGTCTGAAGTTTGCTAGAGTGCATTTGGATGATCCAGAAGAGGATTGGGAGAATGTCATATGGTCAGATGAAACCAAAATATAACTTTTTGGTAAAAACTCAACTCGTCGTGTTTGGAGGACAAAGAATGCTGAGTTGCATCCAAAGAACACCATACCTACTGTGAAGCATGGGGGTGGAAACATCATGCTTTGGGGCTGTTTTTCTGCAAAGGGACCAGGACGACTGATCCGTGTAAAGGAAAGAATGAATGGGGCCATGTATCGTGAGATTTTGAGTGAAAACCTCCTTCCATCAGCAAGGGCATTGAAGATGAAACGTGGCTGGGTCTTTCAGCATGACAATGACCCCAAACACACCGCCCGGGCAATGAAGGAGTGGCTTCGTAAGAAGCATTTCAAGGTCCTGGAGTGGCCTAGTCAGTCTCCAGATCTCAACCCCATAGAAAATCTTTGGAGGGAGTTGAAAGTCCGTGTTGCCCAGCGACAGCCCCAAAACATCACTGCTCTAGAGGAGATCTGCATGGAGGAATGGGCCAAAATACCAGCAACAGTGTGTGAAATCTTGTTCAGTATATTTCTGTGTACAGTCGTGGTCAAAAGTTTTGAGAATGACACAAATATACATTTTCACAAAGTCTGCTACCTCAGTTTTTATGATGGCAATTTGCATATCCTCCAGAATGTCATGAAGAGTGATGAGATGAATTGCAATTAATTGCAAAGTCCCTCTTTGCCATGAAAATGAACTTAATCCCCCCCAAAAAAATCCACTGCATTTCAGCCCTGCCACAAAAGGACCAGCTGACATCATGTCAGTGATTCTCTCATTAACACAGGTGAGTGTTGATGTGGACAAGGCTGGAGATCACTATGTCATGCTGATTGAGTTAGAATAACAGACTGGAAGCTTTAAAAGGAGGGTGGTGCTTGAAATCATTGTTCTTCCTCTGTTAACCATGGTTACCTGCAAGGAAACACGTGCCGTCATCATTGCTTTGCACAAAAAGGCCTTCACAGGCAAGGATATTGCTGCTAGTAAGATTGCACATAAATCAACCATTTATTGGATCATCAAGAACTTCAAGGAGAGAGGTTCAATTGTTGTGAAGAAGGCTTCAGGGCGCCCAAGAAAGTCCAGCAAGCGCCAGGACCGTCTCCTAAAGTTGATTCAGCTGCGGGATCGGGGCACCACCAGTGCAGAGCTTGCTCAGGAATGGCAGAAGGCAGGTGTGAGTGCATCTGCACACACAGTGAGGCGAAGACTTTTGGAGGATGGCCTGGTGTCAAGAAGGGCAGTGAGGAAGCCACTTCTCTCCAGGAAAAACATCAGGGACAGACTGATATTCTGCAAAAGGTACAGGGAGTGGACTGCTGAGGAGTGGGGTAAAGTCATTTTCTCTGATGAATCCCCTTTCCGATTGTTTGGGGCATCCGGAAAAAAGCTTGTCCGGAGAAGACAAGGTGAGCGCTACCATCAGTCCTGTGTCATGCCAATAGTGTGTGGGGTTGCTTCTCAGCCAAGGGAGTGGGCTCACTCACAATTTTGCCTAAGAACACAGCCATGAATAAAGAATGGTACCAACACATCCTCCGAGAGCAACTTCTCCCAACCATCCAATAACAGTTTGGTGACGAACAATGCCTTTTCCAGCATGATGGAACACTTTGCCATAAGGCAAAAGTGATAACTAAGTGGCTCAGGGAACAAAACATCGACATTTTGGGTCCATGGCCAGGAAACTCCCCAGACCTTAATCCCATTGAGAACTTGTGGTCAATCCTCAAGAGGCGGGTGGACAAACAAACTCCAAGCATTGATTATGCAAGAATGGGCTGCCATCAGTCAGGATGTGGCCCAGAAGTGAATTGACAGCATGCCAGGACGGATTGCAGAGGTCTTGAAAAAGAAGGGTCAACAATGCAAATATTGACTCTTTGCATAAACTTAATGTAATTGTCAATAAAAGCCTTTGACACTTATGGAATGCTTGTAATTATACTTCAGTATACCATAGTAACATCTGACAAAAATATCTAAAAACACAGAAGCAGCAAACTTTGTGAAGACCAATACTTGTATCATTCTCAAAACTTTTGGCCACGACTGTAGGTGATTGACATGACTCTCTTGAATTTTGCTGTCAGTTTCATTGGCCAAAATTTCACATGCACGCATACACACACAAATTAATTACTTTCACAAATTTCCCCTTTCCATGCCTGCTTGGTGTAATCTATCAAACGCAAAATACACATTTACTGAACACTGTTTTAACAGTTGCAGCCGACAGTATTTTTCAGTGACGACACGTTTGTGGGATCCTCTTCCGTTTACACACAGGTGTTCTGAGATGCAGAACTCTCTCTTCAATCTGTTTTCCTTAAACACCCATAAAACCTAGCGGTCAAACAGGGAAATGGTTCCAATGGTTCCAGTTTTAGAAACCCTTAAGATAAGGGCTGTGTTTCATGAAGGCTTACCGTTTTAATAACCATGTAAATCTCTCTCGGACAAGGTGACTTTTATCAGTATATTCGCCTGTATTTTCCCCCAACAAATGAAATGCTAATTAGCTGGTAATGTGGCGATCATAAAGAACTACACATGCCATGATGATCTGGACAGACTGCTGAATCGAGGCAAAGGTAAGAATCTCTGGATTAACTATCTAATGTTAGGTAAATGTAGTAATGAAAGAATTGGCTACATTTCTTTAAATGTATAATTCTGTGAACTGTCTTGGGCAAGTTTTAAATTGACACAATACCTGTTAGCAAAGGTGTCAGCTAGAGATGACATGCAGGAGCTTGCAGGGAGTTGTAGTCTTGTATGATGTCTACTTTGATGCTAATTAGCATTTTCAAATCAGAGAGTAAATAGTGCAGAATATATTGATCAAAGTCACCTTGTCCTAGAGAGATTTACATGGTTATCAAAACATCACGCCAGGGTAAACCTACACGAAACACAGCCCTAATTTTAAGTGTTTCTAAAATCCCCAATGTGGAAAATGAATGGTGGAAAAACAATTGGAACCATTTCCCAGTTTGACAGCTAGGTTTTATGGGTATTGACACCTTCACTGTGAGGCTCTACGTGGAAATATGGCCTTGTGGGAACTCTAACCCTATAAAAGGTGTGTATCAATTTAACCTTTTTGTTTTTGAAAATTATTTGAGACCATGCTTCCAAAACCATGGTCTCAACAAACTCAGAGTGCATGGACTCATAAGAAAACCCCATAGAGAAGACTCCTTCATCCAATGACTCTTATGTGTAATGGACTGGAACTGAGAGTCATGATCAAGGGCTAAGAAGAGGGGAACCCAAGTCTTAGAAGGTTGGGATTTCACATGGTTGTAATGGAAACCCCCTAGGTAAAAATAACATCCAAATGATCAAACATACCCATTAATGATTTCATCAAGTTTAATACATATGTAAAAATGCCATCTTATGTACATTCGTATAAAATGTGTTCTATCTGAAATTAAGATACAATAGCATAGCAATAACATTAACACTAGAAATGATTCACAACAACAAAAATCAGCCTATTGCACATCTTCGATCTAGCCATTGGTGTGAATGCTCATCATTGTTACAAGTTTGTCCCTGTAAACTCAACGAACAGGAGAATACTGTTGAACATATATATAGGGTTTCACGCGATGGTCCTATTGGTCAGATGTTCCTGCTTTGTCCAAATGGCTCAGTGCATCTAAACAAAGACTGAATTCATGTCCAGAATTAAAAACGGGGCCAAAGTTAGACTGCCTCTACTGTGATAATCACTGCTGTATTATTGTCAACCCACACCATTAGTTAGGCCATCACTCACAGAGAGGAAAGCCAGGTAATAGAATACATTAATTAACTACAATCTATCCATCGTGGTCCTCTGTAGCTCAATTGGTAGAGCATGGCTCTTGTAACGCCAGGGTAGTGGGTCCACCCATACGTTAAAAAAAATGTATGCACGCATGACTGTAAGTCGTTTTGGATAAAAAGCGTCTGCTAAATGGCATATTATTATGATTGTTAATACATTTAGTAACATTCAAAACGTTAATACATTTTGAATCAAGGTCTTGCTGTATATTCCACTTCAGTTGGCACCTCAGTCTAACCCTATACATTAAATCATGCAATAAACCATGTTCTATATGGATGTAAATGTCCATGAGTCACTCATAAAGACTACATTTAAATTATTAAGAAAAAGATAACATGAACTAGTTCATGTTAAGTTAATAATGTCACTTGGTAAACAATAGGTTTGTAGATGAGACAATGTGAGAGAGAATGAGTGGTTGTGGAGGCTGGAGGCGGTTGTGGAGGCTGTTGTGGAGGCTGGAGGCGGTTGTGGAGGCTGGAGGCGGTTGTGGAGGCTGGAGGCGGTTGTGGAGGCTGGAGGCGGTTGTGGAGGCGGTTGTGGAGGCTGGAGGCGGTTGTGGAGGCTGGAGGCTGGAGGCGGTTGTGGAGGCTGGAGGCGGTTGTGGAGGCTGGAGGCGGTTGTGGAGGCTGGAGATGCGTAGGTCATCCATGTAGATATATTGCTGTATGGAGTTCAGCAGGGATCAATACTAGGACCACTACATTATACTCCTCAGTGTTGTAGGCAGTTCATTACATACAGCCTATGGACAGTATGCTGTCAAATAATTATATCAATAATAATAATAATAATAATATCAGCCTCAATTTAAAGTAAAAGTTCATATTTGTGCATTCTCAGCAACCAATGGTGCACCTCTTCATCATGGAAGTCACCAGATCAAAATAGCCTAAGTCTAAAGTACTGTACACTACATCAAGTACAGTCAAAGCCACTATAACGGAGTGAAGAGTGCATCCATCGTCAGGACGCGTGCTCAGTCAGAAGACCACCATTCAATTCCACCAAGGTTAGAGTTTGTAAAACAGGGCACCCTTTGTAATTGGAAGTACTGAGTCTGAACCACTAGAATGAAAACCTGAAAAAGTCCCCCCTCCAAAGCCTAGCCCCTCTACAGCCATTAGACCTATGTAGATTGCATTGTTCCAGAGTTAAGAGTGAGACAACACCTGGTATTACGGACATCTCATTTTACACCGGGCATGCTCACACTCACTCACGCCCCTCGATCCTCCGGATGGCTCTGATTGGCTAATCTAGTGAGCATGCTCCCTGGGGCTCGACCCTGTTCTTGGGGAGCCAACCAACCAAGCCCACACCTCCAGGGGGCTCTCTCCTCTCCCTCCACTTCCTCCTGTCCTCCTCCTCCTTTGTCAGTGTATCCCAGATGGTCTGAGTCTCAGAAAGCTCTCCTATAACTCCTCCTCCTCCGTCAGTGTATCCCAGATGGTCGGAGTCTCAGAAAGCTCTCCTCCTCCTCCTCCTCTGGTAATGTGTCCCAGTCAGTCTCAGACCACCAGTAGGGATCTCGTCTCAGACTACCTCCTCTGACTCCAGATTGTATTCTTCATACAGGGCATCCAGGATGGCCAGTTGTTTCTCCATGGCAGGCAGGTAGACCCCCAGGTCCCGGTGCATGCCTGTGTTGAATCCTTCTTTCAGTTCATCCCCCTCTCTTGACACCAGGGCAGCCGCAAAGCTGCTGTAGGATGGTGCTGCTCGGAGGGCCAGCTGGGAACGGAAGAGATGAACAAACAGTCTCACACACAAACACACCAAGGTCATTATAGGTTTGTATTTCTATATTCCTTTTAAGATTTTTATTATAAATTCAGTTTAGTTTCAGTTAGTTTGCAGATCCACTTTACTCATTTTGATTCAGTTTTATAAAAACATTTATATTTCGTTTTTAGATTATTTAAATTTCAGTTTGAGTGTTAGGCACAGAAAGAAGCCTGTGTGTGGGAGGCTAGGAGCCATTTATGCCTTTAGTTTTTTGTGATGTCACTTCTTGCCACTGTGGGGCAGTAATGCATAAGGTGATTGGTCTGGTTATAGGTTAGGTTAAGTTTAAAGGTACAACAACCAGGAGCATTGCAGCCCAAGGCTAAACTACTCCGCTGTTTTGGTCCTGTACCACGTTGTAGCAGCTGAAGCACCTGTGTGAGAGCAAAGTCTTGCACTGTGGCCTCCTGTAGCTCAGTTGGTAGAGCATGGCGCTTGCAACACCAGGGTTGTGGGTTCGTTTCCCATGGGGGTCCAGTATGAAAAATGTATGCACTCACTAACTGTAAATCGCTCTGGATTAGAGCGTCTGCTAAAATGACTAAAATGTAAAAAAATACAATTGTGATCGTCTCAATGGACGCGTTCTGACAAGTAGATCACTTTTGTCAAGTAGGTGACCATCGTTGGTCACCGCCTTTTCAAAAAGTGTTGCATTCTGGGGAGAAAGAAATTGTCAGACTTGCACCTAATGTCAACTGTATGAACTGTACAAAAATTGTGATCAAAAGGTCATGAAGTTTTGACTGCAAGTTTCTGCAGTTGCTCTTCACCGACTTCCTCCTGCAGCCATCGCATGCATTGTGGGAAAATGTATGCACTCACTAAACTGTAAGTTGCTCTGGATAAGAGCGTCTGCTAAATGACTAAAATGTAATGTAGGAGTCTCTATTGTCAAACAATCATTAGGGTTTTTTTGTTTGGCCCACGCGAACGTGACCAAACATGATTGAAACAGGAACCAATTTGCTGTGATTTGTGTGCAGTGGATGTATACAAATAAATGATATGAGGCTCTCTTTCACTGATTGTACAATGTGTACACATTATTATATTATGATTTCAGTGTGAGTGTGTGATATGGGGGCTAGATATGTGTTTATTTCAACATTATAAAGAAAACCTTTTATAAAAACAATGGCAACACTGCCATGTTGATCTGTGCCTTTGCTGTTAGAGAACTACATTAGTATACGACTTTCGGCTGTCGCAGATGCACCTCCCCCGACTACACTCCTTGACTTCCATTTACAGTCGGTTGCTTTAAGACTTACCAAGCTTGAAAACCCCATTAGAAATCCTTAAACCCCATTGAAAACCCCATTAGATTTTTGCTCCCCCCCAAAAAAACTAAAACTGAACATAATTCATGTTTTTATTTTATTTTAGTTCGTTTTAGAGTCAAAGAGAACAGTTTCAGTATAGTTTTACAGACGGATTTGTTAATTATTTTATTTCCGTTTACGAAATAGTTTTTTTCCCATGATTAGTTTGTTTCAGTTTACTATAGTAGCCTTGGCTCACACACACACACGCGCACACACGCGCACACACACGCACACACACGCACACACACGCACACACACCATAGTGGGCATGATTGTATGATGGGAAACTTTTTCCAACTATAAACTGTTTCTCTAAAAGGAGCTTGACGACTGATTATTAAGTATTACTCACAGCAAATACACCTCGCACGACCCATCCATGATACTGACGCAGACTCCGTCCATAAGCATTACCTGAATGGAGAGGAGTGTGTTAGGAATACAGAGGACATTATACAGTATATTACATCAGACCAAAAGAGGACTATCACCTAACCATTAACCGTGTGTGTGTACCACAGTGTCGCGATGCTAACTCACCCAGCGCTCCGGGGATATCCCTTTCCCCAGAGTTGACCTGGGACAGGAACTCCTTGAGGAACTTGAGTCCTCGTTTGAGCCACATCAGGGCCTCGGTGGCTGAGTTGCGGACGCGGGACACGCCTGTCTGCACCTCGTGGAGCACTATGGTCTGTAGTGTGGGGAAGCTGCCTGGGTCCGACGACAGCTTCTGGTGGATCTTCTACAGACAGCCACACAGGGAGGCAGAAGGACTTGTCACCATAAAGATAATGACTGCGGACCAAATGGCACCCGATTCCCTTTATATTACACTACATTTGGGACACAGCCCAGCAGTTCTGATAGGTTTCTAAATCTGGTTGGTCGTGTTGCGTTGCCACTTAACAGGGTTACTTGTGCCATGATATAACAACACTCTATACCGTGTCTTATTTTCGTTGGCAGTAGAGTAAAGTACTTGTGTCAAAGCTCTGCTTGTGAAATGTTCCAGTGCTTTATACACACAGCACTGCCTTATATCTCACTTTCACCTTCTAGCACAGCAACTGTTACAACAATCTTTGTTTAGAGTGTATTCTGCACAACTGAAGTGCCTACAGGACAGGTTAAGGAGACTGGGTGGGTGTCCTAAATTGTACCCTATTTCCTCTGTAGTGCACTACTTTTGACCAGAGCCCTGTGGGCCCTAGTCAAAAGTACTGTACTACTGTATATAGGGAATAGGGTGTCATTTGCATGTGTGTCCCTCTTGTGGTCATTTAAAGAACTGTTGATAATGGCCAGAGGCTTTTATAACATCTGCACCCAGAATGTTATGCTGATTTGAGCAGCTTTTAAGGTTTTAGTAAATATAATCGAAGTTCCATTTCCTGTAATGTAATATCAAACATTGTTCTAAACTCAAGGCAGCCCTTCCTCTTACCTTGATGTTGCCTGTAAAATCCATTTTAACTGGCGCAAATACTGTGGATCCTAGTTTGTCTGTGGAGAGAGAGTCCAATGTCACTTCAGTGCTGGATATTTTTTACACTATTGTTTGTCCTTGTGTGGCGGTTTCACGGATACAGATTAAGGCTAGTCCTGGACTAAAACGCCAGTTCGATGGAGAATCTCCATTGAAAATGCTTTTGCGTCAATGATTAGTGTTAATCTGTGTCCGGGAAACCCCCCCCCCTGGTGTTTTATTCCCGATGAACCATTACAAATTGATGTAGATTTCAATAGAATAATACATTGACAAAACAACGAAGTATAACATGGAAGAGACAGTAAAGCCTGGAGGATCAAGAGCAATGTGTGTGACATATAATACATCCCAGTACCTGAATATAGTTTATCACACTGACATGCATTATGGTGGGTCGGATCACATGAACAATGGACAGAGGGGTGTTGTATCTCTTCAAGGTGGATTACACATTCCAGACTCCACACACACGCGCCCAAACACACACCCAAACACACACCCTCCCTCCCATGAAACCCATCCAGTTGATTAGTAAGTAAGAGAAATAAATACCTCCAGTCAGCCAGAGAACACATCCAATAGGATGATCAATTAGATGCAGATGAGGAGAGAACGGTACGAACGTGTGAGAGGAGAGAACGGTACGAACGTGTGAGAGGAGAGAACGGTACGAACGTGTGAGAGGAGAGAACGGTACGAACGTGTGAGAGGAGAAGGGTTCATGAGAAAAAGAAGACACTGAAAGAAGAAAACATGAAGGATAGAGCATGCACTACCACCAGGTGGAAAAGGTGATGATTTAGAAGAGATGGAATGATTGAGAAGAGGGGGGGAGGAGGAGACAGATGAGTGAGAAGTGACCGTCCTACCTAATACAGGCACTATTGCATAGCATGAGTCCAAAAAGGCTTGTGTAGGGATACCACTGTCTTCAACCAGTCTTATATCACTGAATCTAAAGAGAAGTCAAAGAGATTCAAACAAGGGGAGATATTAGTGAGGTCCAGCATCGGCAACCTTTATTTGATTCAATCAATCAAACAAAAACAGAAAAGAATGGGGTAGAACCAAAGTGGAGCTAAAGACAGGATCCACAAGACCATGCTGTCAGGCTATTGGGTGATTTGAGTTCTTGTGTCTAACTTGGATATACCTGTATAATAAATAGTTATAATGTATCAAAAACATATCCGCTATGTTCCCCATCCTCTATGGTGTTGTTCTGAAGACTTTTTCCACTAGCTCTGTGTTCGAGGCTTACTGCACTTAAACACGTTAACACTGCTTAGATTGTCTCTCCCTGTCATTGGAATACTGTAACATCATAAGTGAACATCACAGTTCTGATCATTCATATCACGGTTATGATCATTCAAATCCTAGCTTAATGCTGAATAACACTGTTAAAAGGGGCTTTCAAATGTCATCAAAATGAAATGAAAAGAAAGAGTGAAATGATTACAAAAAAAAAACATGACCGACCCCAACATCAGATGAGGGCATCTCTGTAATAGTCATGTGATCAACAGAGAACACACCAGTGTAAAACAGTGTAAAACTCGTTAAATGTTCAAATGGATTTAAAAACAGTCATAAAACGTTCAATGTGACCCTGTTTTAACCTAGCCTGAGTGCCAGTCTATGCGGTCATGCCAACTCCTTGTCAATCATTAACAGCAATGGAGTTGGCAAGAGCACAAACAGATCTGGGACCAGACTAGTTTTGACCCTTTTTGTTTTTGCACAGGCAAGGAAAAACGACCTTTGCCCTTTCATACCCAAAGCATGAGCATTGGACCTAAACAGTACATATCAGAGTTGCATAATTCACAGCAAAATCTGAACACACTAAATAGATGAATCTCAATAATAAATCCCTCATTGTGTAATCACAACGCCATTATAGTACCTAGAATAATTACAGGGGAAAAGGGTATTAAACAATTAGTGTATGTGTTGGCCCTTGTTCTGTCTAGTTATTGCTAGTGAAATATTAACATTGAGCGCTGTAGTATAACTACTACACTCTGAGGTGACGTTTTCCCCTAGCGACAGATCTAGGCTCAGCTTTCCTTTCCCCAATCCTACAATGCAAAAAGTGAAATCTAGGCAAGCCTAAATATCTTATAGAGTGATAATTCATTTAAAATTAGTTTTTTCTTTTCTTGTTTTTTCTTCGCACCAAGCTAAATTATCAAAATGTCATTGGCAGATAATTTGGCATATTTTAAACTCAAAATATTTTCCCTTAATACGACTATGTCTCTGCGTTTTATGTCTCTGTGTTCAGTATGAAGGAAGTTGGAGGTAGTTTCGTAAGCCAATGCTAACTAATTTAGCTTAGCGCAAAGAATGAAAGTCTTCTGGATCAGCTAGCATGCTAGCAGATACCCAAGACTTCCAGTCTTTGAGCTAACGCTACATTGCCAATATCCTGAACTATCCCTTTAACCATTAGTGGGGGAAATGCAAAACTGACCCAAGATCAGTGTCTAGGGTCAACTTCACCCTAAGGTCTACAGTATGTGTCCCTCTTGCGGTGTGTCCCCATACCTGTGACTCATCGTACTGAAGAATGTGTCCACCTGCTCTGTCTCCTCCTCTTCTTCTCCCTCTTCTTCCTCCGGCTTGGCTTCCTCTTGGTCAGTGACAGTTTCCTGTTGGTCCTGGGTCACTTCCTGTTTCTCTTCTTCTTGGGCATTGCTCATTTCCTGCTCCACCTCTTTGAATTCCTCCTCTTCCTCTTGCTGTGCTGGTTGGTCAGTGTGTTCTGGGTCAGGATTGGTTTGGGGAGCGGACTCCTCCTCTTCCTCCTCCACTACAGACTCCTCTGGGTCCTGGTGGTCCCCGCCGGCTGGGCTATTCTCTGTATGGCACAGAGCCACACACACAACATGTTAACAAATGTTCTGTTCCAGTTGGCATGTATGAGCCATAGCAACTGGCATGTGAAACCCATTCAAGCAGAAATGGTCAATGCCATTTCAAGGAGAACTCTAAACCACTATCTTAAAAGTAGACAAGTCTCTGGGTATAGTACGTAGTGACAGAAGCTCTTTCTGAGTTCCACATTTATCGTGTGCCAGCGATAGTAATGTCTTCGTACATTTGGGTCCGTTATTTAAATCAACGTTAAGGTAGATATAATAAAGCTGCTGGGCATCCATCATTGTCTCCCATCTAGAAGGCATTACTTGATCAACTTCAGCTGGTCCTCTTTCTACAGATCTCCTGTATGGTGAGCAGTAAAAGGTCTCATGCTTTGGAGGTGATTATGGTTTACATACAGGGTGTGTGTGTGCACGTGCATTTGAACACGCAAGTGTATTTACTGTTGAAGTCGGACATTTACATACACTTAGGTTGGAGTCATTAAAACTTGTTTTTCAACCACTCCACAAATGTCTTGTTAACAAACTATAGTTTTGCAAGTCGGTTAGGACATCTACATTGTGCATGACACAAGTAATTTTTCCAACAATTGTTTACAGACAGATTATTTCACTTATAATTCACTGTATCACAATTCCAGTGGGTCAGAAGTTTACAAACACTAAGTTGACTGTGCCTTTAAACAGCTTGGAAAATTCCAGAAAATGATGTCATGGCTTTATAAGTTTCTGATAGGCTAATTGACATCATTTGAGTCAATTGGAGGTGTACCTGTGGATGTATTTCAAGGCCTACCTTCAAACTCAGTGCCTCTTTGCTTGACATTATGGGAAAATCAAAAGAAATCAGCCAAGACCTCAGAATTTTTTTTGTAGACCTCCACAAGTCTGGTTCATCCTTGGGAGCAATTTCCAAACGCCTGGAGGTACCACGTTCATCTGAGCAAACAATAGTACGCAAGTATAAACACCATGGGACCACGCAGCCGTCATACCGCTCAGGAAGGAGACGCGTTCTGTCTCCTAGAGATGATGTACTTTGGTGCGAAAAGTGCAAATCAATCCCAGAACAGCAGCAAAGGACCTTGTGAAGATGCTGGAGGAAACAGGTACAAAAGTATCTATATCCATAGTAAAACGAGTCCTATATCGACATAACCTAAAAGGCCGCTCAGCAAGGAAGAAGCCACTGCTCCAAAACCGCCATAAAAAAGCCAGACTACGGTTTGCAACTGCACATGGGGACAAAGATCGTACTTTTTGGAGAAATGTCCTCTGGTCTGATGAAACAAAAATTGAACTGTTTGGCCATAATGACCATCGTTATGTTTGGAGGAAAAAGATGGTGGCTTGCAAGCCGAAGAACACCATCCCAACCATGAAGCACGGGGGTGGCAGCATCATGCTGTGGGGGGGCTTTGCTGCAGGAGGGACTGGTGCACTTCACAAAATAGATGGCATCATGAGGAAGGAAAATTATGTGGATATATTGAAGCAACATCTCAAGACATCAGTCAGGAAGTTAAAGCTTGGTCGCAAATGGGTCTTCCAAATGGACAATGACCCCAAGCATACTTCCAAAGTTGTGGCAAAATGACTTAAGGACAACAAAGTCAAAGTATTGGAGTGGCCATCACAAAGCCCTGACCTCAATCCTATAGAAAATGTGTGGGCAGAACTGAAAAAGCGTGTGCGAGCAAGGAGGCCTACAAACCTGACTCAGTTACACCAGCTCTGTCAGGAGGAATGGGCCAAAATTCATCCAACTTATTGTGGGAAGCTTGTGGAAGGCTACCCGAAACGTTTGACCCAAGTTAAACAATTTAAAGGCAATGCTACCAAATACTAATTGAGTGTATGTAAACTTCTGACCCACTGGGAATGTGATGAAAGAAATAAAAGCTGAAATAAATCATTCGCTCTACTATTATTCTGACATTTCACATTCTTAAAATAAAGTGGTGATCCTAACTGACCTAAGACAGGGAATTTTTACTTGGATAAAATGTCAGGAATTGTGAAAAACTGAGTTTAAATGTATTTGGCTAATGTGTACGTAAACTTCCGACTTCAACTGTAAATGAGAGACCTGTAGGGGGTGTTTGGGTGGTTCTCTCAGGGAGTGTGTCTGGTCCTTCTAGTTGGTCTGGTCCCACTGCTCCAGAGTCAAGGATCTGGTTGTCATGGGTTACAGATCCTTCTGAGATTTCTTTTAACTCCCTCTGTCTGGGAAAACAAGACAAGAACCACTCACATCCTGGCCACAGAGTTATCATGGATACATATCTAAAGCTGTATTTTCATGCAGTTAGTGGAATTCTAACAAATCATGGAAGATCAAATCAAAATGTATTTGTCACATGCACCGAATACAACAGGTGTAGACCTTACCGTGAAATACTTACTTCCAAGCCCTTAACCAACAATTCGGTTCAAGAAATAGTTAAGAAAATATTTTCTAAATAAACTAAAGTAAAAAATAAAATAAAAAGTAACACAAAATAACAATAACGAGGCTATATACAGGGGGTACCGGTACCGAGTCAATGTGCAGGGGTACAGGTTAGTCAAGGTAATACATGTACATGTAGGTAGGGGTAAAGTGACTATGCATAGATAATAAACAGCAAGTAGCAGCAGTGTAAAAACAAGGGAAGGGGGGGGTCAATGTAAATAGTCCGGGTGGACATTTTATTAATTGTTCAGCAGTCTTATGGCTTGGGGTTAGAAGCTGTTAAGGAGCCTTTTGGACCTAGACTTGGCGCTCCGGTACCGCTTGCCGTGCGGAGAGAACAGTCTATGACTTGGGTGACTGGAGTCTTTGACAATTTTTAGGGCCTTCCTCTGACACTGCCTAGTACATAGGTCCTGGATGGCAGGAAGCTTGGCCCCAGTGATGTACTGGGCCGTATGCACTACCCTCTGTAGCGCCTTACGGTTGGATGCCAAGCAGTTGCTATGCCAGGCGGTGATGCAACCGGTCAGGATGCTCTCGATGGTGCAGCTGTAGACATATTTGAGGATCTGGGGACCCATGCCAAATCTTGCAGTCTCCTGAGGGGGAAAAGGTGTTGTCGTGGCCTCTTCACGACTGTCTTGGTGTGTTTGGACCATGATAGTTTGTTAGTGATGTGGACACCAAGGAACTTGAAACTCTCGACCCGCTCCACCGCCCTGTCGATGTTAATGAGGGCCTGTTCGGCCCTCCTTTTCCTGTAGTCCACGATCAGCTCCTTTGTTTTGCGCACGTTGAGGGAGAGGTTGTTGTCCTGGCACCACACTGCCAGGTCTCTGATCTCCTCCCTATAGGCTGTCTAATCGTTGTCGGTGATCAGGCCTACCACTGTTGTGTCTTCAGCAAACTTAATGATGGTGTGTTGGAGTCGTGCTTGGCCACGTAGTCGTGGGTGAACAGGGAGTACAGGAGGGGACTAAGCACTCACCCCTGAGGGGCCCCCGTGTTGAGGATCAGCGTGGCAGATGTGTTGTTGCCTACCCTTACCACCTGGGGGTGGCCCGTCAGGAAGTCCAGGATCCAGTTGCAGAGGGAGGTGCTTAGTCCCAGGGTCCTTAGCGATGAGCTTTGTGGGCACTATGGTGTTGAAAGCTGAGCTGTAGTCAATGAACAGCATTCTCACATACATTTAAGTCATTTAGCAGACGCTCTTACCTTGGACGACGCTGGACCAATTGTGCGCCGCCCATGGGTCTCCCGGTCGCGGCCGGCTGCGACAGAGTCTGGACTCGAACCAGGATCTCTAGTGGCACAGCTAGCACTGCGATGCAGTGCCTTAGACCACTGCGCCACTCGGGAGTCATAGGTGTTCCTTTTGTCCAGGTGGGAAAGGGCAGTGTGGAGTGTGATTAAGATTGCATCATCTGTGGATCTGTTGGGGCGGTATGTGAATCGGAGTGGGTCTAGGGTTTCCGGGATGATGGTGTTGATGTGAGCCATGACCAGCCTTTCAAAGCACTTCATGCCTACAGACGTCAGTGCTACAGGGCGGTAGTCATTTAGGCAGGTTACCTTCGCATTCTTGGGCACAGGGACTATGGTGGTCTGCTTGAAACATGTAGGTATTACAGACTCGGTCAGGGAGAGGTAATCCGTTTGGCCCCGCGGCCTTGTGAATGTTGACCTGTTTAAAGGTCTTGCTCACATCGGCTACGGAAAGCGTGATCACACAGTCATCCGGAACAGATGGTCTCATGCATGCTCCAAGATGGAGATAAGGGAGTGTGTTCCATAAAGGTGGAATGCTGGTGTAAAGGTTAAGACCGTGAGCAACAAGTTAGCTTGAAACCAAACTTCTGAAAAGAGAGCCACCTACTTTTCCTGATTTGATTGATTGACAGGTTTGACCTGTGGAACAAAGAAAATAGCACATTAGCCAAAGACAGTACAGTAAGAAGATAGGCTAAAACTGCTCTCCAATAGAAATCCCTGATCACTTGTAGGCGATGTAATGGCGACGTTGGCTAGCTAAGCTCATGCGTAGAATTACGTCATTGGTTCTAACGGTCGTCTTGCACCGAACTGCGCATTTGCAGGCCGTCAAATCAAAAGGCTGTCCTTCGATATAAAGTTGTTTTTGACGAAAATGAAAACATTTTCGTTTGTCACGAGGTTGGAGTAATAACATGTTCAACTACTTAATTAAGACATTGGCTCCAATCTAGGTTGGGACTTTAGATTTTCGAAAAAATTGCATTGTTTAGAAAGGGTGCAAAGGTGAATTGAGTTATTGCACACGCACACTTCAGAGTAGGCGTTCCCTAACGCAAATATGCAAATGCATGCTAGAACACGCCAATAGGATCTTGCTAGTTCGTGTTTGGCTCTGCCCACCTCCTTGCTTGTTCTGCCCACTATGACTCATTTGTTCCCATTTGAAACGACGGGCTGTGGTCTATCTTGGTTTAGTTATAAAAATCTTTGGTTTCTCTATGCGTACGTTGGTACCTTCTGGGGTTTGATGGTGGCCACGGGAGGTGACCCGGGCGGGGTCTTTGTAGCCTGGTCTGAGCTGAAGGTGCGGTTGGCGATCAGCATGCACTCCTCCAACGTCTTGAGGAAGGTGGTGCATGTAGACTTCACCATGGTGCCAGAGTTCTCCCCTGGCTGAAACAGACACACAACCATCAACTCCTAAGCAGATTGCTTATCCCTTGCTTGTGCTGTCAAAGTGACTGGTCATTTGCATAGCAACATACATAGCAACCAAATCCAATGGCGACTCAAACAGAGCATCCATACTGAACTCAGTGAGAAAAGATTCTATGGTTGCACAGAGAGTAAATAGGCCATTGAAACCTCAGCCCTCCCTCTGTCTTACCTCCTCAGTCTCCTCACTGTCCTTGATCTGGTTGACTTGCTGGAGGAGAAGGTCACAGTACAGCCTCAACTCTGACATCTTGGTCTTCAGAGCCTCTGTGTTCTCCTGATACTCTGAGAGAGAGCGAGAGAGCGAGAGAGATGTTGCTTCTTGAAAATATCCTTGGCTGTGTAATTTGAATTTTTAAGATTAATAAAGCTCATATTCAGTGCATACATTTCTCTTTCTATAATACACAATGTCCAGTGTTCTGTTGGTGAGTCTTGGGTTGATAGTCACTAGACTGGATGCTTTATGTTATGCATTAAACTCATATCTGTTGATAGTGATTGACGCCAGACTGTTGTGTACTCAACACACTGATTATTATTGTATTTTCTGTGAAACACTGATTCTGTAGCAGCTGACACCTTTTGTTTTGACTTCCTACAAGCCTCTCGGCTGGCGTTTACAGAACAGTTGTCTGCTGATCAGAGAAGGCCAAGTAGACCATTTCTCTGCTTCTGTGCTGGAGGTGTCTCCCTGTTGTAACTTGTAATAAACAGGATTGGCTTTATCTGCAACTGCTCTTCTCTTTTGTTCACCTGGAAATTACTTTTACAGGTTACGTCCCAAATGACACCCTACTCCCTATTTAGTGCACTACTTTTGAGCAGTGCCAATAGGCTCTGGTGAAAAGTTGTGCACTATTTGGGAATAGATGCCATTTGGGATGCAGAAGTTCTCACTTGCTTACTGTAGATCATCAACTAGATTCAGCCGCGGGCCAATTTTTATTTTTTCTTGAGCGGATGGTCAGGGGGCCGGAACATAGTTACAAATAATTTGTAGACTTCAAATTGACCGGAAGAATCCTAAAAATATATAATATTTGACTAAAACATTAATTTCAAACCTTGTTTACATTTATACCATCACATATATCTCTCTATTATACGTGGGAATACTTTGGAACAGATTTCCAAAATTAAAATCACTCGGCGCTGATTTGCTGGTGTTTTTACAGTCTCATGTTCAGACAAACAAACAACTGGTTTTGGGGGTTTTTCTTCAGAAAACTGGGGAGGGACAAATAATTTCACCCACAGGCCACCAGTTGAGGAACCCTGCTGTAGATATTGAGTTATAACACATTCATTTCACGAAGTCAGTTTGATAGCTTTTAAGAGGTCACCCATGTAGCCCTACATGTCCATGACAGACACCAGGTTCACATACAACAGGTCAAACCAAGCCAAATAAAATACCCACACAACAGCATGAAATCATGTTTCATTCAAGCTATTGTGTGTTTTCAGACTTGTTTGGAGTAACCCAAAGCTATCACCTTACCTTTCTCTCTCTTGGTTCGGTTGTCTGTGAGGCAGGCCTTTGCAGATCCCAAGGCGACCAGCCATTTCTGCCTCTCCGCTGCGTTGATGGCTCTGAGGTAGAAGTACTGTTCTCCAGGGATGGTCAGGTCAACACGTGTGAAGTCAGAGGAGTGGACTAGTATGGAGTGGAAGAGAGAGAAAGACAGAGAGGGGGTAAACCCGAGTTAACAGCATCCTCAAGGGTGTAGGACAGTGGTTCCCAACCCTTTTCGGGTTAGTGTACCACCAACTGAATTTAGCTCTGCCCGGAATTCCCCTGAAGCACCACCTCGTGTGCATTTTATCAGTAAGTCTATGGTCTCATGAGTCTTCAAGTACCCCGTGTGGATAGGCCAAGTACCCTGAGGGGTCCTAGTACCCCAGGTTGGGAACCACTGGTGTAGGAGACATTTTGGCCAATCGTATGTGGTTGTTATGTTGTCTATAGTTTGTCTGTCTTTGTGTATTCCACTTAATATGTACACTAGAGCACTATATGTTGGGTCATGTGTGTGTATAGGCACACAGGTAACCAGGAAGTGGTAAAGAGCTTTTCAAATGGAAGATTTGGTGAGTAGTGATATTTTTATGACTAAAACAATATAGGCTAAGCTTCAGATTGACTCTTCAGTATGGTGTAGCCCATCTAGTTCAAAGGAGCGCAACAGTTAGCATGTTGTCATAATATACCGGCCAGTCTTTACCAAGCCAATAAGTACCAACCTTGTATTTCACACACTGAGATTTTGATGCTGCCCTTGCATCCTTTCCAGGAATCTTCTTGGGAGTCATAGTAGGACAAAGTCCCTCCTTCCAGTACAAACCAGCGAGGCTGCCAACCTGGAAAAGGGGATGTTGATAACTATGACCATTATGTAAAACAACACAATTCATTGTAACCTGTAATAGCTATCTAGCTAACACAGCAAGACATGACGCATGACTCAGTGGCATCCAATGACAATTAGCTAACTAGCTAGCTAAGGTTAGAGCATGTTGATTTTCTGGCTGACTACCTGTCCAGCTAGTTGTTAGCTAACTAGCTAGCTATCTGACTCAAAGCCGACTTATTCAGAAGCTCAGTTAGCTAGCTACATAGTTACTACATACCACTTATGTAATTTGTCCACTTGTATAGGATTCCCTCCATTCTTCATCTGTTTCTGAGGTTCATTACTTGTTTATCAGAACAAGACGCCAACCACAGCTGATCCTGGAGACTCAATTTAATTCCCAAGTAAGATTTTCGGCGCTAAAGGACCAGTTTCATTTGGACTACGACAGAAAAGTACGTAAGTCATACATGAATGGGGTTCCATGTGATCGCGTGAGATCCCGCCCAGTTATATGACGTCAAAGTAATTTGCGTTTTATGGCCTGTGTACGTGACAATGTGGGAGGAACTATGTATGTCCTCCAATGAACAGAAACTATTTAGAAATTGGGTGTGGCCTCCAAAAATTCTCTCCAATCGCAAAAGTGGTGGTCTCACAACTGAACAAGGGAAACATTTTGTTAATGCAAGTACCCTTCTAACGTTTGCCTGCCACGTAGCTAGCAATTGATATAGACTCCATGCAACATTGTTGCACACTTGTTAGTCAGGCTTGTCTATTTAGTTTTGTACTCTGGATTTATCTATCTATCCAACCAGCAACCACTGAAATGTTACTCCTATCTTTTTGGTCAATTGTTTCGTGCTTTTTGTATGTGAATGGCGCTAAACTACCCGAACCAGAGGTGAAAATTGAGGTTTTACATAAACCCTTTATCTGCTTTCAGAAGTCGAAATATGGAGACCTACTTCTTGTGCACTTCGAGGGATTTCTGGAGAGCAATGGCACCATGTTTCATTCCAGGTGACTTGTTGAAATCGATATGGAATGCTCTGTTGATTGGATAAGTTTCCGTTGCTTCTTGCTGCAATCTTACAGTCTACTAACCAATGGTCAACCAATCCATCACACTCGAGAGTTGAATTGCCCACCAAATGAATCCCTCTGATCACACTCCCATAACAACGGCATGTTTGTGGACATTGACAATCACTGTGTTTGTTTGTTTTTCTGATTGTTAAACCGGTTGGTTAAAGGGATAGTCCAATCAAAAACTATATTACGGTATTTTGTTAATTAGTCCACTGTCAATACAATCCTAAAAATGGTGCATGTCAGCACTGTAATGACGCGTTTTTGCCCGTGAACCAGAGGAGGCTGGTGGGATAAGCTATAGGAGGACGGGGTCATTGTAATGGCTGGTATGAAATATATGGAATGGTATCAAACACATCAAGCATATGGAAACCACGTTTGACTCCGTTCCATGAATTCCATTCCAGCCATTACAATTAGCCAATCCATCTAGAGCTCCTCCCACCAGCCACCACTGGCATGAACTATCCCTTTAATTTAGCGGTTACTGATTTTTCTTTAAGAACACTATGATGGATCTGTGTGACTCTTGGCAGCCGTAACCACGGGGATAAACAGCCAGTGTGGTTCACCCTGGGGATCCAAGAGGTGATCAAGGGTTGGGATAAGGGGCTGAAGAACATGTGTTCAGGAGAGAGGAGGAAGCTCACTATCCCCCCAGCTCTGGCCTATGGCAAAGAGGGAAAAGGTATTACACATGTGTTGACATAGGACTACCAGTAGCCTAATGCTTACCGAATCCTTCATACCCAATTACAGAACGTTAGCCTACCGGTACAAGAGGAAAATGTGTGATCTCCTGAGACACTGAAATCCATAATTACTTTAATTGGCTAGGTGCTCCTTTTGTGTCAAGGGTCAATGTCATCAGATGCATCACAAATGGGACAATATTCCCTAGTGCATTACTTTTGACTAGAGCGCTCTGGACGGAAGTAGTACACTAAGGAATAGGATACCATTTGGGACACAGACGACATGTCATGTTGCTCAGGTTTGTTTCCAGGCAAAATCCCCCCCGAGAGTACGTTGATCTTTGACATTGAGATCATGGAGATTCGGAACGGTCCCAGGTCCCATGAGTCGTTCCAGGAGATGGATCTCAACGATGACTGGAGGCTCTCCAAACCAGAGGTAGGCATCAGAGGACTCTACACAAGGCAGGGATTAGTGGACCCTCGAGTCACAAACTACATGGCTAACCTCACTCCCCATCTTGAAATGTCACGTATTTGCGAGGCAGAGGATCCCTGGTTTGAGCTCAGTAAGGGACAGGGTACCTAGGGAAGTAAGTGATACTGTTAAGCAAGCTACAGCGATACTGTTACACCAGGCTAAACTCAATCAAGCCCAGTATTTGAACCCAGGTCTAGTGTTTGTTAATCTCCTGTAGGCAGATTATTTTACTTCTGGGTTAAAGAGATTAGGTGTTTGTTTATGTGAGGGTTTTATGTTCTCTCTGTGACAGGTGAAGGACTACCTAAGGAAAGAGTTTGAAAGACATGGCTACCATGCTAATGACACGCATCATGAGGCGATGGTGGAGGACATCTTCAAGAAGGAGGATGAGGATGAAGATGGATTCATATCTTCTAGAGAGTTTACCTACAAACACGATGAGCTGTAGAAGTCTGAATTTTATAAGGTTGGTTCACAGTAGATCAAGCGACTGTCTGTGGATAACGTGTCGTTAGCCCAAGTATAAACCAGCCTTTACTCCTATTAACATGTCATTTCATTTTCACTATGTTCAATCGGTCTTGAATTTACAATTAAAGTGTTCTGAGGAGCGCTCAGGGTTTACTGGCATATATATTTAGGAGATTTTGGTATTTTTCAGGGATTTGTGGGTATGAAATTGCCTTGAATACGTATCATAGAGAACACTAAGTCCATCCACCGCATTTATGCCCAATGTGACCCATGTACAGTTATTTAGATTCATTTAAATGATTTTCTGTATAGACACATAGTCTTTAGTCTTTAGTTCAAGTACAAGGCTGATGGTGAATGATGGGGTCACCAGTTTGTAAAGTATCATACAGTATTTCTAAGAATATCTGTTTGTCAGCCACTGAAATAAAATGCCTTTTCATAAAACTCTCAAGAGTCATGTACTCTTTCTTTTTCACCGCAAACATGGCCAAGTTGCAACTGCGCCACCAATGCCTTTAGGGAGAGGCGCTTATAGCAGAGTACAGGATGATCAGTAGAGGGCGCTCTTTCTCCTGTTTTCATACCAAAACCCAAAGTGCAGAACAACTCCTTTACTTACTTGCAGAAAACAGTTAAAGTTAAAAGGTCACAGAAGACCGTTCCATCACTAGTATTTGTCCCCCTATTTCACACCATCTGTAACACAGGGGTAAATAAGCAGATTACATAGAGCAAAGGGGAATACAGTATGAAGGAATGACCTGGTTCATCCTTTTTCAACTCAGGTTCACGCAGATGTACACTACCGTTCAAAGGTTTGGGGTCACTTAGACATTTCCTTGTTTTCGAAAGAAAAGCCATTTTTTTGTCCATTAAAATAACATCAAATTGATCAGAAATACAGTGTAGACATTGTTAATGTTGTAAATGTCTATTGTAGCTGGAAACGGCTGCTTTTTAAGGTCCTCAACTGGCAGCTTCATTAAATAGTACCCGCAAAACACCAGTCTCAACGTCAACAGTGAAGATGCGACTCCGGGATGCTGAACCTTCTAGGCAGAGTTGCAAAAAAAAAGCCAAATCTCAGACTGCTCATCTTAATCTTTTCTTTTTATTGGCCAGTCTGAGATATGGCTAGAAGGTCAGCATCCCGGAGTCGCCTCTTCACTGTTAACGTTGAGACTGGTGTTTTGCGGGTACTATTTAATGAAGCTGCCAGTTGAGGACCTGTGAGGCGTCTGTTTCTCAAACTACACACTCTGATGTATTTGTTCTCTTGCTCAGTTGTGCACCGGGACCTCCCACCCCTCTTTCTAGTCTGGTTAGAGCCAGTTTGCGCTGTTCTGTGAAGGGAGTAGTACACCGCGTTGTACGAGATCTTCAGTTTCTTGGCAATTTCTTGCATTGGAATAGCCTTCATTTCTCAGAACAAGAATAGACTGATGAGTTTCAGAAGAAAGTTCTTTGTTTCTGGCCATTTTGAGCCTGTAATCGAACCCACAATTGCTGATGCTCCAGATACTCAACTACTCTCAAGAAGGACAGTTTTATTGCTTCTTTAATCAGCACAACAGTTTTCAGCTGTGCTAACATAATTGCAAAAGGGTTTTCTAATGATCAATTAGCCTTTTTAATGATAAACTTGGATTAGCTAACACAACGTGCCATTGGAACACAGGACTGATGGTTGCTGATAATGGGCCTCTGTACACCTATGTAGATATTCCATAAAAAATTAGCCGTTTCCAGCTACAATAGCCATTTACAACATTAACAATGTCTACACTGTATTTCTGATCAATTTGATGTTATTTTAATGGACCAAAAAATTGCTTTTCTTTCAAAAACAAGGACATTTCTAAGTGACCCCAAACCTTTGAACGGTAGTGTACATACAGGACATTTCACTTAATTAAGGTCAGCCATTATCAAGTCCTGGCACTGTCATTAGCAACAATGCCGTTCGCATGAACCATAATGAGTTACAGTAGCTACCTCAAATCCAGTAAGGAGGAACTTGTCATTCGGATCCATCAACATTTATTGTATTAAGCCTAGGTAATTATGTTTCTAATAATGGTGCTCTAAATGGCAAGAATGTGTGATTTAAAAAGAACCCCAGCAGCTCCAGGGAAGTTGCAGTCTAAACATTTCCCCACACCCAGAGGACTAGCAACAGAACAATGACAATGGCTACATCTATTGTATGGTTCAAGCAAGGTCATGGATCCATTGATCTTTTAGAAACCAGAATAAACCAGCATCTTTAATAGTCTAGAGGTATTTAGACTTCTAGATGTATTTAGATTTCTAGATTTATTGAGACTTTTAGACTTCTAGACTTCGTCCTAATATTTATATATTTCTTAATTCCATCTTTTACTTTTTAGATTTGCGTGTAATGTTTTGTATTGTTAGATACTACTACACTGTTGGAGCTAGGAACATAAGCATTTCGCTACACCCGCAATAACATCTGCTAAATATGTGTGTGCGACCAATAAAATGTAATTTAATTTGAGATGTATTTAGACTTCTAGATGTATTTAGACTTTTAGATGTATTTAGATTTCTTCACTATATCTGTTATTGTTAAGTGAAAATGAAACAAAGTAAACCAAATTACATATTTACACATTTATTTACAATAATGTTGATATCTTATTTTTTTTTCATATACATCTCTGAAGTAAACTTAGCAGACTGTAAACAATTCCATTCAAAACAGAGATTTTGAGACAGTGACTGAATAGCAAATATATTATCCACAATAAATATGTAACAAAGGTGTATTAACTTCATATGTATTTCCTGAGTGAGAGTGTGTGTGTACGTACATTGCAGTACTAAATGCAGATGTTTTTTTCTACATTTAAAATATTGTGATGTAAACAACTAAATGTAATCTTAAAATCTTCTCAACACTAGCTACATGCTGGCATATCCTTCATTGACATCCACTGTAAGGGTTCATTACTGCAATGGTTCCCAACCAGTGGTACTAGGACCCCAGGGGGTACTTGGCCTATCCACAGGGGGTACTTGGCCTATCCACAGGGGGTACTTGGCCTATCCACAGGGGGTACTTGAGGAGACTCGTGATCATAGACTTACTGGTAAAATGCACATGGGGTACTCCAGGCAGAGCAAAATTCAGTTGGTGGGACAGTAACCAAAAAAGGTTGGGAACCACTGCATTAGTGCATACTAGCATAATAACCACACAACTCCATCTCTACTCTTATCTTTGTCATTGATATAGCTCCCTCATTGTAGAAACAAACCCGTCTATTCCTTCAAAGACATTAGCTAGCCTAGTACAATATGAGCAGAATCAGATTAATACAACATGATCCAAATGAAGTTTGGTTGTATTTGAGTCCTTCATGTGCTTCATATCAAACCACCTCGAGTCCTTCATATCAAACCACCTCGAGCCCTTCATATCAAACCACCTCGAGTCCTTCATATCAAACCACCTCGAGTCCTTCATGTCAAACCACCTCGAGTCCTTCATTTCAAACCACCTCGAGTCCTTCATGTCAAACCACCTCGAGCCCTTCATATCAAACCACCTCGAGTCCTTCATATCAAACCACCTCGAGTCTTTTATGTCAAACCACCTCGAGTCCTTCATATCAAACCACCTCGAGTCCTTCATATCAAACCACCTCGAGTCCTTCATGTCAAACCACCTCGAGTCCTTCATATCAAACCACCTCGAGTCCTTCATATCAAACCACCTCGAGTCCTTCATATCAAACAAACAAACAAGAAAACAAACACACAAAAAGCAACAAAGAAATAATAATAAATAAAAAAAATGGACCCTGGCAGGAATATTTTCTACATTAGATACCATGTGCATTAGGCTGGGTGTGTATGAAATATGAAAACATACTTGAAAATGGATATTGTAACAACCTTAACCCAACACCTAGTGACCTCGTCAAAAAGTTCGGACCTGTTGGCGTAACGTTAAAGGTGTTGGCTTGAGTCCCTGTCATGGCTACCTCCTGAATTTTCTACATTGGTGAGGCCATACACATGAGGGACTTGGTATAGAGAAGTGTGGGGACACACTCTCCTGAAGGAAGTTGGTAATGTAGCAACCTTAACCCAGACCTCTTTGGCGTTACCGTTAAGGGCTTGGCTGGACCCTGGTTCGAGTCCCGGTTGGGGCTACTTTCCGAATTCGCTACAATATGATTATGAACATTTTTTACAATAATTTGATACTTCATAACTATTCCGTATCCATCTTTCATTGGCCTAAACATATTATGAATTAGGTGTATACCTAATATATTAACTTGGTATAGGCCCAATTGATCAACATTTATGAAAGTTATATCTTTAAAAAAATGCCTAAAAAAATTAATTCTAATTGCATCATCAATGTCCCATGCTCCATAACAGGTTGCAGTCTGGCAGGTAGAATGAGAATGATAATGATATACCCTGGGCTACTTCGCAACAGCAGTCGCAGCAACATTTCCACTGAAGTTGTTATTTTCAGGTATGGTCCCCCTTACTCTTCTCTTCTCCTTAAAACGTCCAGAACGTGAAACTTTTAGATTCCGTCTACAAGTTTTCTCATTGAACATTGGCTCAAACTCTGCATCGTCAAAGGTTTCTGCATCTGGAAATGTTTCGTTTCCCTTTGAGTCCGGTGTAGATTTGGAGGAGATAGGAGAAATATGCTCCCCAGAAGGTTGGGTCTCACCAGATTCTTGGGTTGTTGGAATACTCTTCCTTGTCACAAATGCTCTCCACCAAGGGTATCTAACAGGCGCTGCCATATCTGGAGGATTAAGTTTCACCTGCAATATACGTTTCTGTATGTCAATATAGCCAAACTGGTATTGAGAAAAAAGAATCAATCATGCCATAAAAAGTCTGTCAATAATCCAAAAATATTCAATAGGAAATCATCTTCATATAGCTGTTATGTAAACATGCTATACATTTGTGATCAGCTATGATGGATAATATAATGTCATACCCCTGCCATCAACTCACCTGTACGTTTTCAGCCCTCTGGGGTCCTCTAGTATCTCCAAGGGGGTTAAACTTGAGGCCAGTTCTCGGCTGAGGACAACATGACCCAACACACAGACCTTCTAAGACAGTGTAGATTCCCAAGTTGTTTCCACAGATGCATCCACTTGGAAGACTCAATTTACAACATCCAATCAAGGCTTGAATTTACATGAAGGCCAATGTTTTAAGTAGAAAAACAACAGTAAATAACCAACTTTTGATGTATTTCCTGTGACTAAGAGGCAGCAAATGTTACAGGTATGGGAACACACCGGTCTATATCGCCTACAAACAAAGCCCCACCCATGCACACCTGATTGGTGCAGGTAAAACTGGGAGAGAAGTTACCTCCCTGGAAGCCTGCAGGAAGAATACCTGACCTGCCAGCCATAGCAACACATTACCTGAGAACTAGACACACAGAAGAAACAATACATGCAAACTCCTCCACACCCTTACATTTAGAGACAGGGTGACTAATCATGGCAGCGTCCCAAATTGGCACCTTATTCCCTTCATAGTGCACTACTTTTGACCACAGTCCTACGGACCCTGTTCAAAAGCAGTGCACTAAATAGGGAATAGGGTGCCATTTGAGACGCATACCAAGTGTGTTCCCTCAGGTACAGGGCGTCCACCATTGTTGCTCTCTTCAGCACCAGCGCTATTGAACCATCGTTGTCCTATTGAAGGTGTGGTGCAGTACGTGTGTGTTGTGATTGCATTGCACCATGACGCAGACATTTCTTTGAGCAATTGAATTGTAGCCTATCCTAAATGTACACATAAAAGATTGAGCAAAGCGTAATTTTACATCCTTTTAATAAATCAGCATTTCATAAATTACAATCTTAATTGCACCAATCACAAAAATACTTTTAATAAAATGGATTCGTAGAAAGGATTTCAATTATTATATTATCAACAATGGAAAACAACAGAGAATGTGTCAACTTTGTCGTCATGGCGTTGTTGTTTGGAGTAGGTGAGCTCCACAGCACCTATAGCTGCTCCAGGCAGTTTTCTAGGCTGAACATTTAGACATCAATGTTTCCTGACTTTAGTATGTGTCAAATAGTGTAAACTGATGCATGTATTGGAAAAATACTACGAGGTCTAGTCCCTTACCCAGATTAGATGTTTGGCAGTCTACAAGTAGCAATTACTGAACAAAAATATAAACGTAACATGTAAAGTGTTGGTCCCATGTTTCATGAGCTGAAATAAAAGATCCCAGAAATGTTCCATACGCACAGAAAGCTTATTTCTCTAAAATGTTGTGCACAAATTTGTTTACATCCCTGTTAGTATTTCTCCTTTGCCAAGATAATCCATCCACCTGACAGATGTGGCATATCAAGAAGCTGATTAAACAGCATGATCATTTCACAGGTGCACCTTGTGCTGGGGGCAATAAAAGTCCACTCTAAAATGTGCAGTTTTGTCACATAACACAATGCCACAGATGTCTCAAGTTTTGAGGGAGCGTGCAATTGGCATGCTGACTGAAGGAATGTCCACCAGAACTATTGACAGAGAATTGAATGTTCATTTCTACTTTAAGCCGCCGTCATTTTAGAGAATGTGGCAGTATGTCCAACCGGCCTCACAATCACAGACCACTTGTAACCACGCCAGCCCAGGACCTCCACATCCGGCTTCTTTACCTACGGGATCGCCTGAGACCAGCCACCCGGACAGCTGATGAAACTGAGGAGTATTTCTGTCTGTAATAAAGCCCTTTTGTGGGGGAAAACTCATTCTGATTGGCTGAGCCTAGCTCCCAAGTGGGTGGGCCTATGCCCTCCCAGGCCTACCCATGGCTGCGCCCCTGCCCAGTCATGTGAAATCAATAGATTAGGGCCTAATTTATTTATTTCAATTGACTGATTTCCTCATATGAACTGTAACTCAGTAAATTCATTGAAATTGTTGTATGTTGCGTTTATATTTTACCCATTCCATGTATCAATTTAAAATGGGAGGTTTGATTCAATAGTTTTCTGTAAACATTTAGGCTCAGACACACATTTCACCCAAACCATATACTATAACTAGGACAATTTTTCTAGTACCAGCTAACAGTTGCAAATGTAACTTCAACAGTGCCACTGAAAATACATTTCTAAGCATTTCCTTACAAGTTTAAACTGCTCTGTTCACCAATTCCTTTTGGGGTTATGTTGCATTTTGACAATGGAACACATCGCACATCCTTGACAACCTATCAGCTTAAGAAAAAAAAAGCACATGATGCTGAAAACATTTACATAAAAACATCTTTACAAAATAAATTCATCAGCACACTCTTTGCTAAATAAAAAGTGCTTCATTCATAGACCATCCATCCATAGCTCACCCTATAGGATCACACAGATACTGAGTCAACACTAAAAAGATCTGATTTGATCAAACAAGATTTAACCTGCATTCCCTTTACAAAGAGACTCATTAACCAATAAGCACACAACGAACACACTTGAGCAGACAATCAATAAGCAGACAGACATCAACCAGGAAGAATGTGGTAATGTGATGATGCTACATTTATGAAAAAAATATATGTTTTTATTGTCACATACACTGGAAAGGGGCAGTGAAATGTGTTGTTTCACAGGGTCAGCCATAGTACTACAGCGACCCTGGAGCAAATTAGGGTTAAGTGCCTTGCTCAAGGGCACATCAAGATTTTTAACCTTGTCGGCTCGGGTATTCAAACCAGCGACCTTTCGGTTCCTGGCCCAACACTAACTGCTAGGCTACCTGACGCCATGAAAGGTGTGTGAAAATGCTGGAATCAATGGCTTCGTCCAAAATGCCACCCTATTCACTATATAGTGCACACTACTTTTAACCAGAGCCCTATGGGACCTGTTCAAAAGTAATAAATAGGGTGCCATTTGGGATGTATCCAATACCTTGTTCCTCTTAAGGAGAATATGGCCTTTGACCTTAATGTAACAAGACATGATGTCTAACTGACGTACCACAGACTCAACTACAACTGAAACAGTCATGCTTATAGGAGAGAAGAAACATTTTGGAATTTTTACACTTCATATGATGACAGACATATGATGGCTTGAGATTCCTCTGGTATGGGAATAAATAAAAAGTAATATTCCTTCCCAGCAACAGACAGGGCTCCAGTCCTTCAAAACAAGACGTCTTCATGTTCTATCAGGAGCTGTATGATGAGTTTCTGATGCCTCATGTCGTTCAGAGTGGCCAGGGCGTTCTGTTCAGGTGGCTGCATTAACGTCGGACCAAACACAATCCCCAGGTTCTCAGAATTCATGAAATTGTATTTTTCAAACATGGTGACCCTGAGAGAAAGATCATTATTACATCGTTCAGAAAGGTGAGAAACAACAACATTACATGTACAGCTGAAGACGGAAGTTTCCGTACACCTTCGCCAAATACATTTAAACTCAGTTTTTCACAATTCCTGACATTTAATCCTAGTAGAAATTCCCTGTCTTAGGTCAGTTTGGATGAATGTGAAAATGTCAGAATAATAGTAGAGAGAATGATTTATTTCAGCTTTTATTTCTTTCATCACATTCCCAGTGGGTCAGAAGTTTACATACACTCAATTAGTATTTGGTAGCATTGCCTTTAAATTGTTTAACTTGGGTCAAACGTTTCGGGTAGCCTTCGACAAGCTTCCCACAATTAGTTGGGTGAATTTTGGCCCATTCCTCCTGACAGAGCTGGTGTAACTGAGTCAGGTTTGTAGGCCTCCTTGCTCGCACACGCTTTTTCAGTTCTGCCCACACATTTTCTATTGGATTGAGGTCAGGGCTTTGTGATGGCCACTCCAATACCTTGACATTGTTGTCCTTAAGTCATTTTGCCACAACTTTGGAAGTATGCTTGGGGTCATTGTCCATTTGGAAGACCCATTTGCGACCAAGCTTTAACTTCCTGACTGAGGTCTTAAGATGTTGCTTCAATATATCCACATAATTTTCCTTCCTCATGATGCCATCTATTTTGTGAAGTGCACCAGTCCCTCCTGCAGCAAAGCAACCCACAGCATGATGCTGCCACCCCTGTGCTTCACGGTTGGGATGGTGTTCTTCGGCTTGCAAGCATCCCCCGTTTACCTCCAAACATAACAATGGTCATTATGGCCAAACAGTTCTATTTTTGTTTCATCAGACCAGAGGACATTTCTCCAAAAAGTACGATCTTTGTCCCCATGTGCAGTTGCAAACCGTAGTCTGGCTATTTTATGGCGGTTTTGGAGCAGTGGCTTCTTCCTTGCTGAGTGGCCTTTCAGGTTATGTCTATATAGGACTCGTTTTACTGTGGATATAGATACTTTTGTACCTGTTTCCTCCAGCATCTTCACAAGGTCCTTTGCTGTTGTTCTGGGATTGATTTGCACTTTTCACACCAAAGTACGTTCCTCTCTAGGAGACAGAACGCGTCTCCTTCCTGAGCGGTATGACGGCTGTGTGGTCCCATGGTGTTTATACTTGCGTACTGTTGTTTGTACAGATAAACGTGGTACCTTCAGGCATTTGGAAATTGCTCCAAAGGATGAACCAGACTTGTGGAGTCTACAATTGCCTGAGGTCTTGGCTGATTTCTTTTGATTTTCCCATGATGTCAAGCAAAGAGGCACTGAGTTTGAAGGTAGGCCTTGAAATACATCCACAGGTACACCTCCAATTGACTAAAATTATGTAAATTAGCCTATCAGAAGCTTCTAAAGCCATGACATCATTTTCTGGAATTTTCCAAGCTGTTTAAAGGAACAGTCAACTTAGTGTATGTAAACTTCTGACCCACTGGAATTGTGATAGTGAATTTTAAGTGAAATAATCTGTCTGTAAACAATTGTTGGAAAAATGACTTGTTTCATGCACAAAGTAGATGTCCTAACCGACTTGCCAAAACTAGTCTGTTAACAAGAAATTTGTGCAGTGGTTGAAAAACAAGTTTTAATGACTCCAACCTAAGTGTATGTAAACTTCCGACTTCAACTGTATATTTATAAGACTACATCACTGATTCAACCCCATGAAGAGCAGATTAAGTGTGTGTGTGTGTGTGTGTGTGTGTGTGTGTGTGTGTATCCTCACTTCTTGAGATGCATCATCAGGTAGCGTAGGGTCTCGTAGTGGGCTGGCGGGAGCTGCAGCAGCCCCTCGTGGATGGCCTCCAGTCTGGTGTCTGGGTTGGGAATTTCTACCAGAGGAAGTGTTACTTACTATTAGTTACATTCACCTGATAAATAACCGCGCCTAAGACCTGAAGATTTTCGTTAGCTCCCCAAGCTATTGCCTAGCCTTTCGCTCAGTGCGCTATCAGTCATTGCGCTGGAGACCCAGGGTGCATTGAGCTAATTGTGGGAATAAGTATGGGAGTACGTACTTGCAGCTTGTATGAATCTGGAGTACACGTGGAATGTGATGACTGGAATGGGCAGGTCTCTCAGATAGAGCTTCAGAGCTCCAGCGATGATGTTGATGTCATTGTACACATTGGCACTGATGTCTGCCTTCTCGCCATCTGCAGAGATGACACACAGGACACGTTATGTACCGACCAGACTGCAGTATATTCACTACAATTCCCACAATGCAACATATATATGCCCTTTACACCGCACATAACGACATCCTGCGGTCTGATACGGCTCTCCTGTGCTTTTCATTTGAACCTATGGACTTTCATGTCTCATATAACCTTAAACCAGACCTTAGCCCAGAGGCAAAGGAAATGAATTTAACACAAACCTCGGTCAAAGGAGAGCCTCACATCCTCAATGTGTTCTGAGAAGCCAGACACTCTGTAGAGGCCCTCAGACTGCAGACCTGCAAGCAGTAACACAGAGAGTCGGTTAACTCTACTTCCTGTACTCTCTACAAATCTATTTTTTTTTTCAGGACCAATCACAGACATCCATTTTCACCTTGAAGTTGAATATTCTTTCAGCTTAGCCCTTGGCTAACAACATGCAGGGTGAACCCGGCTTAAATGTCCCAGAAACATTCTAAACTGAATGAACCTGAATGGCTGGTAAACGGATCTGTACCTCGTAGTTCTATCTCCTTGATACACATGTCCACCACCATGGGCCGTGTGGTGTTGTGGGCCTTGACCAGGGTAGTGAGGTCACAGCTGAACACCTTCTTAATCCTGCGCAGGTCTGGCTGGCAGTCGCTGGGCACCAGCTTGGAGCACTGCTTGTGTACATTCAGCCCACAGTCTGGAAACCACAGGTCAGAGAGGTAGTCAGTCAGTGTTAAAATACTCACCCATACGGAAAGGATTTATTCAAATCTTCTAATCTTATATGATTATGGTCGACTTCTTCTAAAACAACATGTAAGACTGTAACACAATACAGAGTGGTTAGAGGTAACAATTAGTACAGTGATCAACCCCAATCTCAGAGAGAAAGCCCAGCCAGCTCAGCCAGCTAGGGTAAGACCAGGCTGTTTCAATATGCCATGGTGGGCCACGTCACAGTCTATCTGTCCCCAGGGGGGTGTCTTGTCTTGGCTGTTGGTCAGTGTTGTGGTTCTAGTCACGCAGAGGGTCTTGGACAGCTGGTGGCAAGAGAGCGGAACACATTGTGGTGGAAGGGAATGCCTCTTTGTGCGGCATCACTGGCCTGCACACGCACACACACACACCGTGAGAAAGATAGAACAAGCTGCCTCTCTGGGAGATGCCACAGGAATGTAGCCTAGGTTGAAGTTGCTCTGCCTGCCTTTACTGTCCTTGGGAGTCTCCCTGACTCAATAAGAACATCCAGCTGAATCATTCATCACTGGTAGTGGCGTTTTTACTACCAACAAGTACCCAGCATTATTACTGCTCTGCTGACCGGGGTTCCTTATTCTCAGACGCTGAGACACAGAGAGATTGAAGAGAGAGAGAGACAAAGGGAGACTGACAGACAGAAACAGATAAAGATGGAGAGAGAGAGAGACAAAGGGAGACTGACAGACAGAAACAGATAAAGATGGAGAGAGAGAGACAGAGGGAGATGGGGAGAGGGAGGAAGAGGACAAGCTAAACATGCCAGATAAGAAGGAAGAGAGAGAGAACAGAGAGAAAGAGAGAGAGAACAGAGAGAGAGAGAGAGAGAGAGAGAGGGAGGAGAGAGAAACAATGAGGATAGAAAGACAATCATCAGTTGTGTATCTCTGTGTGTTAGAGAAGGACTGCTTCAGAGAGAACTGGAAGTACTAAATAAATCTCTCCTGATTACCATAGGGCACAGGGCTGTCTGATGACACCAGTGTTTGCCTGGGGCTTATAAGCATGGCTAATAACTGAACAACAAACCATCTGTCTACAGCGAAAACAGCAGAGTTAGTCCTCCGTTAAACACATCCATGTCAGGATTGTGTCCAGGCAATAATAGAACCCTGTGTCTATCGCAGAGTGTTTAGGGACTTTCCAAATCTACTTGTCTACTTGTTAAATGTTTGTAATGTCTACTATCGTCAATTGTGCTACAGTCTTGCTAAATTGTAAATGTCTGTAATGTATTTTTATTGTGTGTATGAACCCTATAATTCACTGGACCAGTCTGATCGGTTATTCAGCCAACAAACATTTCAACAAGTTCATTAGGATACAACATTATTGATTAGCACAGAAATTATCAGTGGAATCATTAGGTGGAGTGGGCTCTTGATCAATATTACTAGGGTTGCAAAGGGCGGTTAAATTACTGGAAACTTTCTACGTTTACCAGTACACTACCAGAAGTTTGGTAACTTTCAAGTTTTTATTTTATCACAAGACATCTAGTGGCCCTTTTTGGGTACTTCAGATTATCACAGGTATCTGTAATTATCTCTGGCCCTCTGTGTGGACTTATTACATGTAAAACATATAAAATAATCAAATAAGAGGATTTGAAAGTGAAAAAATACAATGACAACGCTGTAAAACATTATCCTAAATATAAACCAGCAACTTAGTGAATACCATTGGTACCATTAAATAGTTGGATGAGTTGCAGAGTCAATAGTTGGAAGAGTTGCAGAGGTTAACTGAAAATAATGCCATTGTTGATTAGATGCTTTTAGCATTAAATTAGGCTATTTTCTCTTCAACGATATGGTCTATCCACTAGAAACTAATGGACAGAGATATAAAACATTTATATAATATATATATATTTTTTTTAAATGTTCAAGTGTAAATTACCAAAGTTAATGATAATTACCTAAATTACCAAAGATTCCGGTAATTTAGGTAATTTAGCGGAATCTTTGCAACCCTAAATATTACATCCTTTTATCTCGCAGGAAGCTCCAAGGACAGCTACTGTTAATGTGTCCCTTTTCACTCAATTTAACTTCAGGATTGGAATGATACAGTATTGAGATATTTTCCCATGTACTGAAGCACTGAAACAGGGATTAAAACCAGTCATTAAAAGGATCTCCATTACAAAGAGATCAAGAAAGCATGACAGCACGGCCAGACAGCACGGCCAGACAGCACGGCCAGACAGCACGGCCAGACAGCACGGCCAGACAGCACGGCCAGACAGCCTGGTTGCAGTTGCAGTTTTGTGGATACAGTGTTTGGATGTCTTTGCTTGACTGGGTGTGTCCCGTTGACGTACCTTTTGAGCTCTCTGTGTGCGTCTGTCTTGTTTATAAATAGTTGACAGCCATAGTTGCAGAGGGAACTGGTTTGTCCCAGGTGTCACTGAGGAATGCTAAATTACCACATTTCACAGGCCGCCTCCAACCAGTTATTTACATGGAACTGACCAAATTTACTAGACTATACATTCCATGACATGATCCAGGCTTGGACGTAATATTGTAATACCCTTTTTATTGTCATAGTGTTTAAAAATAAATTAATTGTTAAGCATTTCAAGTTTGACATCTCATGTGTTACAATTAGTCATATGACATGCAACCCAACCGGACAAAGACGTCCAATCAGTTGTCCAATTTGATTGATTTTTGATCGAGTTGTCAGCAAACGTGAATTCTTGAAATAAATCAAACTTGGAAATCGTATCGTTGATTTGGGATAAAATGAGACGGAACCTGGTTACATGGATGATTTGTTGAAAATGTTGACTTAATACATTTCTGCCCAGAGGGATGTTAACAGGACACCTAGTTCTGATCAGGGATTGGAGTTATTTATTTATTTTTCTTTAGGCTTTCATCCCAAATGGCATCCTATTCACTATATAGTGCATAACTTTTGATCAGAGCCCTATGAGCCCTACACACGTGGACTACATAGGGAATAGGGTGACATTTGGGACGGTGCCCTAATGTGATGAAGTACCCATGAAAGGTCAGTGTTTGATTACACTCCCAGGTCAGTGTTTGATTACACTCCCAGGTTAGTGTTTGATTACACTCCCAGCTGATGGTAGCTAGGTGAGCAGTGAGCAGTGTTGGGATATATGAATGGAAGAGCAGGTTACCTGAGCAACGGACCCCTTGGGCTATGAGACCCCACATGAAGTTGGCACAATACTCGCACCAGTGAGGCCCTCGGAACGTATGAACCTATGGAAGGGTGAGACATCACAGCAATAGATTAGAGTCTGGAAGAGACACCACACCTTCTCGCTCTCACTAAACAAACATTGTAACTCTCTAAAATCACACACACACCTTCTCGCTCTCACTAAACAAACATTGTAACTCTCTAAAATCACACACACATATCCGCAAACAGACAAGATCTGTGAATACTTTCATTCATTGTATTTCTGTAGGTGAGTAAGACCCAGGGCAGGTTAGGTCACCTGTCCTACTGTTGTGTTCTCTCTCTCTCTCTCTCTCAAGAGCAGAATCATTGATTGTATTCAAAATGTTACAACTGTATTTCTGTTTTAGAAAATCAACAGCATGAGCATGTGGTCCTCTGTAGCTCAATTGGTAGAGCATGGCGCTTGTAACGCCAGGGTAGTGGGTTCGATCCCCGGGACCACCCATACGTAAAAATGTATGCACACATGACTGTAAGTCGCTTTGGATAAAAGCGTCTGCTAAATGGCATATTATTATGAAACAAAGAGGTTAAAGTGCTCAAAAATCAGACAATGTTCACAGCCGTCAATGGGTTAAAACATACGCCATATCCATTTAGCTCAGTCGATAGATTTAGACATATGGCTGACAGCTGGACGTGCCCACAAGACATCTTTCATCATGAAAGCACATGATTATGAATAATATCATCAGTCTCTCGGTGTTATAACGGTATCTAACGGTAGCCAGTCTAGCGACAAGCAGGCAGCTCACTAGGCAAATACAAAGAGTCGGTTACTTTGTCACTTTGAGGGACATTGCTTTTAAGTTTCAGATCAACCTGACAGAACTTATCTCACAGACCCTGCATGGACAAGCAGCGCTGCCTGTAGGAGCAGAATCATTTCCTGAGGTAAAAGAGCTTCAAACAGAGCTTTGAACAGAGAATCTACAGAGAGGCAGCCCTCCTACAGGTCCTAATGCAGTCAACTCTCGCCCCCTCCCTCCCTCCTTCCCAGTACCTCACCACATCCTCCTTTAAAAAGGTTAAATCAAACAAACCGGCTCACCTTGAAGTTGTGGACCTTGTCGTAGGAGCTCTGCTTCTCGGAGGGGCAGTCTTTCAGGGTGCTGTGCCGTACCAGAGGAGACGTGGTGATCTGCGGACAGGAAGCCAACAGTTTTAGAGGCTTCCAGAGTAACGTTCCCCTGCTCCCCAACTTGACCCCCAGGGCTAAGGCCAGTAGCTCCTGCCTCTTCCGCTCCCCTCTCTTGGTCTTGTGGACCGTTACATCTCCTGGCCCTATCCCTCCTCCCGGACCGCGGCTCCCTTCCTCCACTTCCATGGCTGCTGCCGTGTGTCTGACTGTGTGTCCCTGTCCTGGTCCTAGTCCGGGCTCCCAAAGAGCCTCTGTCTCCTCTGGTGAGCCGTGTGGTGTGTGCTGGAGGACGTAGCGCCCAGTGCTGCCTAACAGACGCCGGCGGCAGCAGCCCAACGAGGAGGACACGGCCGCTGTACTCCACTCCCCCCCCCCTCCTCCTCCTCCTGTTCCTCCTACTCCTCCTCCTCCTCCTACTGCTGCTGGGACCCAGGAGGGTACAGACTGACAGTCAAGGTGGGGGAGGCTCTGCATCTGATCTGAGCTCCAGCTCCAGTTCCAGGGGAAAGAAGCAGAGAGCAGCCAGCAGCAGTGGGCGGCCCCAGGGCAGGAGTGTGGCCTCACACAATGGCTCTCATTCACACACACCAAATAGGAGAGGGGGGGGAAGGTAGGGGTCCCTTGGTTGGTGGGGAGGGGCTAGGAGGAGGGTCCCTTGGTTGGTGGGGAGGGGCTAGGAGGGTGTGTGGGGTTAAAGTGAGTGTGTGTGGGGTGAGGGGTGAGGGGGTTAGGGTGAGCTGTTAGTACAGCTCTTCACAACTCAGCAGCAAATCTAAAGCAGGATCAATGGCTGCAGTCAAACTCTCTAAAGACACAGAGAACCATGCCACACTAACTATTAGCACGTTGCCTCCCGGACACACACACACTCAACTGGAGATAATACTGAACTGAACTGAACTGAACTGCCAGGAGTCATGGCACTATCCTTCCGGCCCAGAAGAGCCACGACATGCTCCTATATTCCTTCTAGTCCAGCAGAAACAGATTAATCAACTACATCTTGACCTCCATGCCTCACAATCCACTGGTGATTTTCATCTCCCTGCCTAGACTACAGCCAGACTACAGACAGACGCTACGACTCCAGCCTGCTCCCACCAATCACTCTGCTCTGCTCTCAAAACACCCAGTAGAACAGCACCCAACCATGGTCATCCACTGGGATTGGGAGGGATTATGGCCGTAATCCCCACTCAGGGTGTAATCCCACGGTGGCCAAATCCCTGTCAGATCCCAGGCAGAGCTCATGGTGGCCATGCCCTGACTCAGTGGGGGGGGCTGTTGCTGAGTCTACAGCACCACAGAATATTTTTTGTGACTCTCCTCCTAAACATCCACTCCTCCTAAAACACCAGGAGCGCCTCATCAGCTCCTCTTGGTTAACAAGACACTCAAATGGGAAGTAGACAACTCAAACTAGTGGAAGTGGACATTCAGGGTTGCTGAAATGAAATGTTGAAATTAGGGACAGAAATTGAGTTAAATTGTGAAGAGAAAGAATGAGGGAATGTCAGAAGAAAACTAGAACAGATGATTTTGTAGCAGTGATGGAATGATGAAGAGCTGGAAGGGTAGAAGAGTGGAGGAAGGGAATGATCCTAAGGGATAGAGAGAAATATGCTTGAAGCTCACTCAGCTCAGAGACAAAAACACTTTGGCTGAAATGAGAGGATTGGCAGCTTTAAGGTTGTTATAGACATAGAAGCCATTTTCAAAATATAGCTTTGGGCCTCCTGTAACATAGACTGAAGACCAAGGACTATGTTGTACTGTAGCTACAGAAGTAATGGCTTATCTAATTTCTACCGATTTCTACCAGCATGTCACCTGTGCAACTAGATGAGACAAAACTCTAGATCACCTTTACTCCAAACACAGAAACACATACAAAGCTGACCATAACTATATCCTCCTAATTCCTGCTTACAAGCAAAAACTCAAAACAGGAAGTACAAGTGACGTGCTCAATATGGAAGTGGTCCGATGAAGCGGATGCTAAGCTACATGACTGTTTCACTAGCACAGACTGGAATATGTTCCGGGATTCATCCGATGGCATTGAGGAGTTTACCACATCAGTCACCGGCTTCATTAATAAGTGCATTGACAATGTTGTCCCCACAGTGACCGTACGTACATATCCCAACCAGAAGCCATGGATTACAGGCAACATCCGCACTGTAAAGGCTAGAGCTGCCGCTTCCAAGGAGCGGGACACTAATCAGGACGCTTATAAGAAATCCTGCTACAACCTTCAGACGAGCCATCAAAAAGGCAAAGCGTAAAAACACGACTAAGATCCAATCCTACTATGCCGGCTCTGACGCTCTTCAGATGTGGCAGGGCTTGCAAACTATCACGGATTACAAAGGGAAACCCAGCCGTGAGCTGCCCAGTGACGCGAGCCTACCAGAGGAGCTAAATGCCTTCTATGCTCGCTTCGAGGCAAGCAACACTGAACCATGCATGAGAGCATGAGCTGTTCTGGACGACTGCGTGATCACGCTCACCGTAGCAGATGTGAGTAAGACCTTTAACCAGGTTAACATTCACAAGGCCGGATTACCAGGATACAGATGGATTACCAGGACACATACTCAGAGCATGCGCTGACCAGTGTCTTCACTGACATTTTCAATCTCTACCTGACCCAGTCTGTAATGCCTACATGTTTCAAGCAGACCACCGTAGTCCCTGTGCCCAAGAATGTCAAGGTAACCTGTCTAAATGACTATCACCCCGTAGCACTCACACCTGTAGCCATGAAATGCTTTGAAAGGCTGGTCATGGCTCACATCATCCCAGACACCCTGGACCCACTCCAATTCACAAACCTTCCCAACAGATCCACAGATGACGCAATCTCTATTGCACTCCACACTGCCCTCTCCTACCTGGACAAGAGGAACACAGTTCCCTCCAAGCTCATCACTAAGCTAAAGGACCCTGGGACTGAACACTGTAGTAGAGCGGGTCGAGAGCTTCAAATTCCTCGGTGTCCACATCACTAAGGATCTATCATGGTCCACACACACCAACACAGTCGTGAAGAGGGCACGACAACGCTTCTTCCCCCGCAGGAGGTTGAAAAGATTTGGCATGGGCCCTCAGATCCTCAAAAAGGTCTACAACTGCACCATTGAGAGCATCTTTGATTGGCTGCGTAATCACTTTATTCCTAGTTATATGTACATAGCTACCTCAATGACCTCGTACCGCTGCACGTCGACTCTGTACTGGTACCCTGTGTATATAGCCAAATTAACGCTACTCATTGTGTATTTATTATTACGCGTTATTACTTTTCTATTATTCCTCAATTTTATTTTTCTCAACATTGTTGGGAAGGGCCCGTAAGTATTTCACTGTTCGTCTACACCTGCTGTTTACAAAGCATGTGTCGAATAAAATTTGATTTGATTTAATGGCTGAACAGGTAACAGTCAGGACAGGTGAAGCCGTTTGTCACGGAGTTAGACATCCTATCAAAGACCAGGAGGAGGACCTAAACTAAATCAGAAAAGACCCGACGGAGCAGCGAGAAGGGTAAGGGATATGGAGGAAGAGAGGGACACAGAGAAAGGGGGGAGAGGAGGAGGAGGGAGGGGGGTATACAGTATGTATTGAGAGAGTGTGTGTGAGGGTTATGGGTTTTGTCCCTAGAGGCAGATGGCTTCTTGTCTCATAGAGAAGAGTTTGGAATCAAATGAATAAAAGGCCCTGGTTTCCTTTCAGCATCCAGGCTCTGTTATTCACTGTGTGGGTCCAGCTGAGCAGACACAGTAGGGAGAGCAGAGGATCATGGGAAAATAACACTAGTGCCTTTCTTTCTGTGAGGTCAGACACTGTAAGAACAACCGTCCAAACAAAACACACCTCATACAATCGTAAACAAAACACACCACACACACACCACACATACATCTCACACAATTTCATACAAACAGAAACATAGACGTGAAGGGAGATCTAGTCAGTGATAGAATATTTTTTACTATTCAGAAAGTCTAGTGAAAGGAAAAGTACAGTGACAATTAAAACAGGCCTCCCTGTGGCTGGAAGTATGATAGATCAACGTTGAAAGCCTTCTGCCTTTTACACTGTATGTACTGTAGCTACTGTATAACATCTCTGTAATGGTAGCTCAAGTATTTCCCAACACGATCTTTATAGATCATGTTTCCAACAGACTAACAGGTAGCTCAAGGAAAATGTAATTAACTTCCAAACAAACTACCATAACATCAGAATAATATCCAAACTAGGCCCAGAACATGGTTTAGAAATGCATTCATCACATTCTTCCATCTCCCAACAAGCACCAGTTAGATTCAACCAGTGTGATGTGTCCCAAATGACACCCTATTCCCTACATAGTGCACTACTTTTGACCAGAGTCCTGAGGGACCAGAGGGTATAGGGTGCCATTTGGGATGCACAATCTGTCAAGAAGAGCTGTTGTTATAGGAGGAAACTGGCAGGCATTTGGCCTCTCTGGCAACTCCTAGCACAAGTACACATACACATTGAGTGAGTCTTGTGAACCGAGGGGGCTGACACACAGCAGGTCACCAGACAGGTCGAGTGGGTCTCTCCCCCCCTCCGGGAGGAATGTACATATATATGCGACAACACACACACCCCTGGAGACACACACACACACACACACATCTGAATGAGGACTTACAAGACACAGAGTAAAGACAGCATATGAGGGAGTATGTTTACTTTAGCTACTGTGTGTCTGAAACAACAGACTGATACAAGACAGAGTATTATAGTACACTGTTAACTAAAGTCAGTAAAGATACAGACTGATACTAGACAGAGTATTATAGTACACTGTTAACTAAGTCAGTAAAGATACAGACTGATACTAGACAGAGTATTATAGTACACTGTTAACTAAAGTCAGTAAAGATACAGACTGATACTAGACAGAGTATTATAGTACACTGTTAACTAAAGTCAGTAAAGATACAGACTGATACTAGACAGAGTATTATAGTACACTGTTAACTAAAGTCAGTAAAGATACAGACTGATACTAGACAGAGTATTATAGTACACTGTTAACTAAAGTCAGTAAAGATACAGACTGATACTAGACAGAGTATTATAGTACACTGTTAACTAAGTCAGTAAAGATACAGACTGATACTAGACAGAGTATTATAGTACACTGTTAACTAAAGTCAGTAAAGATACAGACTGATACTAGACAGAGTATTATAGTACACTGTTAACTAAAGTCAGTAAAGATACAGACTGATACTAGACAGAGTATTATAGTACACTGTTAACTAAAGTCAGTAAAGATACAGACTGATACTAGACAGAGTATTATAGTACACTGTTAACTAAAGTCAGTAAAGATACAGACTCATACTAGACAGAGTATTATAGTACACTGTTAACTAAAGTCAGTAAAGATACAGACTGATACTAGACAGAGTATTATAGTACACTGT